TGGGGTATCTTTTCGAGGTCAAACATTGCCGGAAAGGAATTGCAAAAACGTTTACCGAGGAGTTGTTTAATGAGCGACCAGTAAGATTTGGATGTAATTGCGGAACTAAGAAGGCTTTCCGTAACATTATTGTCGTAGTCAAGTTTTTGCTGTTTTTCTGTTACTGCTGTAGTAATAGGCATTTGATAAAATGAAGCCAATAATCTCCGATCTTTCCGTGATATGGATTTCAAATTGTTTCGCCGTTTAAAATGTTTTATTTAACTCACCTTTCCATATTCCAATTGAAAGGACTAGTAGGATCAGCGACCGCATGGTTCTCATTTAGCCTTCAACTAAATAATCATGTGAAAAATATTATAAAAATATTTGCAAAATAAAAAAATGTATCATTTTGTCATGCAAGTTTAACAGTTTTAGTGTTATTTAAGAGTAATTAAACATGGCTTTTAGTACACGTTGTCATGCCTGAGCTTAGTAATTTTTATATCTACCACATGTATGAAGATTTTTAAACATGATTACGTGTTAGTACATATTGATTTATATAATCATGGTTTAAGGATTTAAGCACTAGGCTTAGTGAAATGTGGAATGACAATTCCTTGAAGGCGTTGCTTTCCAAAATTTGCACGGGATGCGGAGCATCGAATCAATTTTAGGAAACAACGCCCGAAATGAATACTCATTACCCAATGCATTGAGTCTTGGGCTTAAATTCTTTTCATACATTGCAAAATATTTTCTACAAAATCATCAAAAGATAGGAAATCACTAAATAACATATTTTCAATGAAATGTTTTGAAAGGATCAAGTTGGCAAGGTATTCGCTCCGCTCCAAAATGAAAACTAAATCAAAAAGGTGTGAGTGTCAGCTTTACGGATCTAGTCTGCTGACAAAGGTTAACTGGTTACAACGTTGAATAATTAGCCCTTTCATCACCAGGGGGTAAACTGAAGAGAAATTATAATAAAAAATCCTATTTTGTTCATGCAATTATTACAAATTTTTGGTTTAAAAGTCAATAAAAATAGTCAAAAGGAACCATGATAAATCACTAGAGCTGAGGTCAGGAAATAGATGAAGCGCATCATTGATCAGTATATAGTCGCAACCCTTTGCAGGTGAATATGACATGTCGAAGACACGGCGGATGTGTGTGATGGAACCATTAAAGCATATTACATATCTATGTATGTTTGTATCTTTTAAGACTAACATAGGGGCTAAACCCTTCATTGTTCATTCGATTCTCGTTCTCTCTGGGGATGTACAGATGCGCGTTCTTTTGTTGTCAATCGTATTACCAACATGGTCCTTCCTGGTAGGAATTGATGATACAGGGTGTTCAATAAGTATTGCTAATTTTGCTATAATTTTTGTTTTCTTTCATTTATCTTCATGAAACTTTTAGAACATGAGAAATTAGCTTATTAGATATAGCAGGGCATACTCAAAATATTTAGATTTTAAGTCAAGAGATAATATTTACTAAAAGAAATCTTGGGCCAAGGTTATATTTTAAGAAGCTTTTATAATTCCTTTCTAGGCTTTACAAATACAAATCATTAATTTTGAAACTTTGCTACTGTCAGAATAGGTTAAGATTGGTAATGAACTCACAACATTTTCATTTGGCACTTTTAAAGGTGGTCCCGACTATGGCAGAAATGTTTGAGAAATAGGCATTGAAACCAGTCAGAGTTTTCTCCTGCGGATGGATATTGACCATTTTTATTCACTAAAGGACTTTGATATTGATTTTTGTCTGTCCTACATTATTATTGAGGCTGAGAGCTTGTGTGACTCTTGTGTGTATGCTAGTGTCTACAAATAATAAAATAATGTGATGAGTATTGACTATCAATTTTGTAATTATTCTTCAATAGGAATTATAATTTGTAATGACTTCAGTATAAATGAAATGGCCCTTGGTATTATGGTCTTGGATGGATTGTTATATTGGTACTTGAATGGTGGGGAGAGTGGTGTTAGACACTTTTCACGTTGGATTATTAATTATTACTTAGGTGGTTCAAAATGTTTTGCAGTTGATGCCATAACTTCAAGAAAAATAGGACTTTTACAATGAAACTTGGTACACATATGTGTTATACATTTATACATTATATGTTAAAATTTGGTTCTTGAGATATGGTTGCTATGGTAACCAGAGTGGTGGGTACCATGTTCAACACGAAATTACGTTTTTCCAAATAGTTTTCTTGCTTGAATTACTGCCATACAATTGTCACAAAGATCTTGAAAAAGCGGTATGTTGCAGCAAAGTGGGTTCCAAATTTCTCACAGTGGAGCCAAAGGAAGCGCGTCTTGCAGCATCTAGGCAATTTCTGGATGCGTTTTGGCATCATTTCCAAATGTTCCCTGAACCAGTTCATAAGTCTCTTGCAAAGTCTTGCCATTTTCAACCATGCACTGTATCAGATTTCTATGCTTCCATTTCATCAATTTGGTTGGTGTAGAAACATCTGCCATTTTGAAAATTTTTGAAAAAAAATTCAAAATTTCCTCACTTTTCCATCTCAATTTTTCAATTGGGTTTTGGACAGTATACATCACAAAGGAACTTATCGTGTCACTTGTCTATTGTGATGTCATAGAGACAATTAGAAAAATTGAAGAATTTGAAGAAAATTAGCCACCCAAAGACACTTACACTTGCTAATTGCCACTTTACAAAGAGTTTATTCAAGCTAGAAAACTATTTGGAAAAACGTAATTTCGGGTTGAACATGGTACCCACCACTCTGGTTACCATAGCAACCATATCTCAAGAACCAAATTTTAACATATAATGTATAAATGTATAACACATATGTGTACCAAGTTTCATTGTAAAAGTCCTATTTTTCATAGCAACCATATCTCAAGAACCAATCAGAATTGAGGTCCCAAATTTTACTATATAATGTATGAATATATAACACATATGTGTACCAAGTTTCATTGCAAAAGTCATATTTTCCTTGAAGTTATGGCATCAACTGCAAAACGCTGAACCACCTAAGTAATAAAAACATTTGTTCTAATCAGAGCTATTCAAGCACAACCAGGGCATACTATGGAATAAATAAGGGCTACTAAGGAATCAATAAAGGCTACTAAATACCACTAGGACATACTAAGAAACAACTAAGGGCTACTAAGGACGCAATTGAGACTATTGATGCATAACCAAAGCATATAGGGGATCACTAAGGGCTATCTAGTAACTAATTGGGGCTATTAATGTACAACCAGGTCACATTAAGGAATCACTAGGGGCTATTTAGGAACCAATATGAGAATCACTAAGGGCTATCAAAGAACTTAAAGTGGCTATAGAGTATCACCTGGCGTTCTAGGGAACCAATTAGGCCTACAATGGTTATCAGAGTATCAGTGGCAGTGTAGGGACTCAATAAGGGCTAGTTAGGAACTAAGAGTGGCTATTAGAGTATCACTTGGGCATTCTAGGGAATCAGTAAGGGCTATTAAGGTACTTAAAGTGTCTATAAGAGCATCATCTTGGCATTCTAGGGAGTCAGTAAGGGCTATTAAGGAACTTTAAGTTGCTATTAGAGTATCACATGTGCATTCTAGGGAATCAATAAGGCCTATTGAAGAACTAATAGTGGCTATTAGAGTATCGCCCGGGCATTCTAGGCAATCAATATGTACTGTCAAAGAACTAGTGGAGTATCAACCGGGAATTCTAGGGAATCAATAAGGGCTATTAAGAAACTTAAAGTGCCTATTAGAGTATCACATGGGCATTCTAGGGAATCAATAGGCCTATTAAAGAACTTATACACTGTAGTGGCTATTAGAGTATCGCCTGGGCATTCTTGGCAATCAATAAGGGCTATTAAAGAACTGATAGTCTAAGAGTATCGCCCAGGAATTCGAAGGAAACAATAAGGGCTATTTAATAACTAATAGTGGCTATTAGAGTATCGTCTAGACACCAGGGAATCAATAAGGGCTATTAATATCTAATAAATTATAGTTATGACGCCATAGTAGATTTGCAAATAGGAAACGTTAGTTAGTAATGTTCTTAATATATAGAGAACTGCAATACATTTCGTCTTACCTTATCAGTTGGGATCAAACGGACAAGATATGCCAAAGCTATGTTGTTTTCTATATTTTCAATGTTTTTTTAATTGGTTACCATGGAAACTATTTAACAAGAAAATTCCAAGGGATATTGTCTTAAAACATTACTAGTAATATCAGCCGTGTTATGTTCACACACGAGCGTTTAAGTAAAAATATTCAATCAGATCTGATGCTCAATGGCTCTATATGCATTAAAAATATTTCAAAACTATGAAAAAAACAATGAAAAAAGACAGGTATGACATCACAATATATGTGCAAATGAGATAAATTAGATAGTAATGTTTCTGTCATAAAGAAAACTGAAATACCTTTCATTTAAACCTAATTTGAGGTCAAATGTACAAAGTAGAATAAAGTTATGTTGTTTTCTAATATTTTTCATTTTAAATGTTGTTTTAACATTGGTTGCCATGGTATCTGCTTAATAAAAAAGTCAAAGGGACATATTTTAGGCATTAGCCATTCACAAATAGTTATATCTTCCTCTACAAGTATGCCAAATTTCAGCCTGCTAAACCGATGGGACGGGTCAAACTGTATTTTTGGTGAATTTTCCTGGACTATATGATTTAGGACAGTTGGGATTATTTTCTTTGTTGGTGGTGTACTCTTAGATGTTTTCCTTTTCTTGCTGTGTTTTATTTTGACAGAATCTACATCATTCAGTAATAATTACAGGTAAGATTAAGACAAATCACAAATATACTTGAGGACATATGTTTTTTTCATTTCTATAACCATTATTAACAAAAAAAGGCATGGGTGTTGCTGTAACACTGAGTTTGTTTATATACCAATTATTAAAACTGAACTAGTCCAAATGTCTAATCGTAAATATATTATGTATTTGTCAAAATCACCACCCTCAATTTAACTTCTATGTTGTTCATCAGCAACAGCATGAAAAGCATCGTTTACAGATTTGTCGACTTTGAATGTATCAAGTAATTTTGTGAATTGATCTTCGAATTTCTGTTCGATTTTCCAGCAGTACTTTGCTTTGATCAGAGGGATAGAACTCCCCTGCCAGTCAAGCGTCCCAGTCTCATTATCTCCGTCATTTGGTTTGAACACAGCATTCACTCCGATAGAACCTTAAACACAAAAACGCATTTATGTAAAAAAAATATGTATGAACAGTCATCTTTGTTTGCATTATAAACTTACTCATTTTATAATGACCGGTCATGCTCCATAATCTTTCATATCACTGTTACTCTCATTATTTAGCATAGTCTGTCGGACGAATACGACCATAATGAAATATTTTTTGAAATAGGGATCGGAATCAGCAATAGTTTTCTCCTGATAACGTGAACTATTGAGTTTTATGTATCATGGCAATAGCTTTGCGAATGTAGGTTGACCCTTTGAATTCCATGGACTTTAAAACTGGATTTCTAATTTATCCCACATCATTTGAAATATTCTATATGTATCTATATCTTACCCATTATGCCAGTAGCAGAGTTCGATAGGCCAGACAGCTCCGTTATATCAAAGCTCATAAAATTATCGTGTCTCCATACATCAATAAATTTCCCATCACCAAGTACCACCTTCAAAGTTGTATCACTGTCGAATACAACCATTTCATGGCCATTGTCAAATTTCAGTTCACCGTATTTCCATTGTTGTCTCGTCACCTTTCCATTATCATCAACACGGACATAATAAGGATCAATTCTTATTACAACACGTCCTTTGGTTATTCGAATACTCCCAACATATTTTGCAAGTTCTCCATCATTTGCAACGACACTTATCAATGTGGAACGAACATCTGAAACACATAAACGAGTCTAATAAAACTGATTAGTATCAATATACGAAGGTTATCCCTAGATCGGATGACAATATTGTTAGAAGCATTCCAAGGAAGTTAATGCATATGTAAGCATTCATGAGGGAAAAGGACAACTTTAAAATTATCACAAAAAGGCATACAAATAAACGCTAAAAATTGGACGTTCAACAAAACGTTTAACATTGATGACATTTAAGCGTTACACGCGACGTAAACGTCCATTGCAAATAATGTTCAATTTTGGTTTCATTTTATCACTTATTTCGACAATCATATATATACACATATTATGATATTAGAACACTTCATTTTTGTGCTTGAATAGAATAAGAATTGTTCATGTCCACATAGTCATAACAATGTGGTTCATAGGGTTTACACAATATAGAAGCTCGTGTTGTTACGATTGTCATTAGAAAATGTGAACCATGTCGTTATTCCTACTAATCTTACCAAAATCATCATCATGGAGGTACAAATATGTCGAATCGGGAGCACCATAGATATCATAGCAGAATCTACGATCGGTCCCTCGGATCGTCTGTTTAATATGAGGATCTCCACAAACCATGATGTCATCACTGTTTTCGTTACATTTTGGTTTTGGGTGTTTGCAATCTGTGTTATTTCTACATTCGTGACACATGCAATCAGACTTGCAGTGTATACGTTCAGGCAAGTCCGCATTGGATGGACAATCGCCATCCGTTACGCACTCGAACTTTTCCATTTCTTCAAAAAAATGATATGCAATTTTACCAAAGCACATATTCAATGAGACGCATAACAATGACTTTTAAAGGTTAAACGTATATAATAAATAATAGATATACGAAAGGCTATTCTTATACAATTACAGTTAATTAAAACATGGTACCTGCTTCAATCTTCCTTTGTACTAAATCTAATTGGAACTCCATTTTTCGCAATTCATGTAATTTGTCGTTTAACTTCTGCAGATGTACTTCTTCCCAATTGGTCTTGCTGTTGCGAAAGTCCTCGAGTCTTTTCAGCATTGCTTTAGTACCATTTATCAGTTCCTGTACATTTATATAAATATCATTTATATCAGTGCATGTTCCGGGTAAACCCATCACCCATTCATAGATGATGTTCATGAATTCTCCAAAACTTTGAAGAAGTGTCAAAATATCAGGTACTATTTCATCTAAGATAGCATCTTTCTTGTCACCTATGACTGCTTTTAGATCTGCTATTTCAGTGTCAGTAAATGGCAGGTTTTCTTCAATAGAGCTTTGGTATAAATATTCCTCTGAACCTACAAAAATTAAAGGTTTGATTGCATCGTGTACACAAGATTTAATATCAGCATTAATTATTTCAACTTAATGTTATTGCACGCACTAGGGCGTTCTAGACCATTTATCTTTCCAATTGGTTAAAATGGACGTCCTTAAACAGGAGGTTGCACTTGGTTCATTTGGTTCAAAAAGGACGACCTCTATCATATGTCCATGGTTTCAATTTGCCAAATACAGAATGATGCCCCGTATTAACTTTACTACAAGTACATGTTGAACATATTACCTTTACTACAAGTGCATGTTGAACATATTACCTCTACTACAAGTGCATGTTGAACAGTCACATTGTACTTCGTCATCACTTTGGCAACCATAACCTGGACCTTCTGTGATCGAACATTCGTCACTTGACTCGCACTTACACTCTATGCTATTTCCACCAGTCTCTAAAATTAACAAGGAAATGACATTAGAAAGACGTTCCATATATATATGATCATATTATTTCTCAACAAAAGAAATATGATATGATTTCAACATAACATGTATAGACGATTTTCACCATGATAGGCTCCATATGGAGCCCTATTATGTAATACCCTTCGGGACGATACACCAAATTTTCACAAGTTGTTCTTATGGGATGATCCTTACTAAGAATTTATTTCAGTGATAAAATTCAAGGTATAGGTCCCGGGGCGAAGCTAATTTGCAGTTTTCCCCTTAAAAATGCTCTTACTTATCCGTCACCAGGGACAACATTTTCCTCTTATATTCACGTCGGGAAAGGGAATGTTAAAAGACTCGCTCTTAAAATATACTCGATTCCTTTTTTGACTATGGATGGTGCATTTGAAATTGTTTGAACAAAACCATTTTACAGACGGTCGAACGGGGTAGGGTATAGACAACTTTTCCATATCCTTACTCGAACTTCGTTCGGTGTTGGATCGTGTTTGAAGTGTCTCTTTAAATACTCAGTCTTAAAAATAGAAATTTTAAAACTCATAAGAAAGTAATCATTTTTTTAATTTACATTCAAATGGTGGATCTAAAGTAAACGCATTGTTTGAAACACAATACTGATATCACATTAAAAATCAAACACAACTAATATTACTCTCCAAAAATGAATTGAAGAATTTAGCACATTTTCAATCCATTTTTGCAAAATTGTCTTCCAATGTATTTTTTGCCATCTCTAGTATATTTTCCAGAAGATCCGCTGCAATGTTATCAATTGGTGAAATTATGTAAAATTCAACGTGCACAATATGCCACAAATGTGTCAAATACACGCCTTACCATCGCGTAAGCAGGCGTCACCGTACAGCGTCAAAAAATAGCGGAGTACAGTTTTCTGTACGGTAACGCAAATTAACTGCTTTGAAGCAAAAACTCTGACAAGGGTTTAAAAAAATTAATTTGATGAAAACTAATACGATTTCATGTGAAATAAAAACAGCATTCTCTTAGAAATGGTTTTAACTTTCTGATTATGATAAACGTTTTACGAGCACTGTTCGAATTTTTTCTGAGTGAATCGGCCCACACAATCGACCAGAGTGAAAAAAGGTTGTTTTTTCACATTTTGTTTGGTTATTACCGTCTGAGAGTATGGATTATTTTTATAAGAATATGTATTTGTTACTTACACATTTTAGAACGGGCGAAGATTCAGCAAACAACCATTCATTATGTATATTTAAAAAGATCAAATTTGTACGGTGACGCACCAGCTGTACGGTGACGCTATGCTTTGATGAACTAAATGAGACTAAGATTGTATGAAATGGAAACTCTGGAGTATGATCATTTGTTCATATATAGTGCATGGGCGCTACAGTTCAACGATATCTTCCACAGCTTAATGGAAGGTTACTGGAAATGTATGATACGGTAAAGATCATGAAACCAAAAACTCTCATGTTGCTATGTTATTGATGTTTTAAAACAAGGGATGTCACAAGTAAATCTCATCTTGCACTTGTGACTTTTTAGGATGAAAGACGCAATATCTTGCATGGGGTAAAGATGGCTGTGTTAGTCATATGAGAAAAGCCTGATTTAGTTCAAATGATACCAAAGCATTACGTCAACTTTCAAATAGTTAATTCCATGAAAACTAAAAATATCAAAAATTAATACTTCCTGTCCGCCATCTTTAATGCGAAGGTGACGGCTGTAACCTTCGCTTGATACTTACCAGTGATAATGTACATGTAGATCTGACGCTTCTTTACCTCTTGTTCGAACAGTAAGCTTAGAGCACTTCATAAAATCTAAGGAAGCGTCACCGTACAGCTGATGCGTCACCGTACAGTTCTGATCTTTTTTAAATAAATACACTGAATGATTATTTGCCGAATATTCATCTGTTCTAAAATGTGTAGATAACAAATACATATTCTCATAAAAATAATCCATACTCTCAGACGACAGGGAAAATAATAACCAAACGAAAAGTGAAAAAAAACACAATTTTTCTCTCGAGTCGATTATGTGGGCCGATCCAGTCAGAAAAAATCCGAGCAGTACTCGAAAAACTTTTATCAAAATTAGAAAGTTAAAACCATTCCTGAGAGAATGCTGTTTTCATTACACCCGAAATCGTATTTATTTTCATCTAATTAATCTTTTTAAAACCCTCATTATAGTTTTTGCTTCAACTCAGTTAATTTTCGTCACCGTACAGAAAACTGTACTACTGTATTTTTTGACGCTGTACGGTGACGCCTGCTTACGCGATGGTTAGGCGTGAAATAGTAAATATGGCGACCGCATACTCGCATATAAAGAAATGAACATATTAATGTAAAAATCTTAAATTCTCCCCAAATAAAGTATGGACTATGGATTTAGAAAATCGACATTAGACATTTTTTGTTAAGATTGCTCGCTTGATCTGACATAACCTTTAATGAATACTTTTATAAATAAAACTACTAAAGATTCGTCTAGGTACTGTAATTATTTTAACTTACCCTGAGATTTGCATATCTCTATGAGTATAAGGACATTTAGAATCAACAGCCGCATGATTCTATCTCAACATCCAACTAAACACTGTTGTAGAAAATACGTTAAATATTGCAAAATAAGAATTAAATATATTTCACAATGGCATGCTGAATTACATTGTTAACAGTAGTTTTGGTGTTATTTATGTGTTATTACATCATGACTTGATGCAATTATATCTAAAAACATGTGCTTGGTAAAGGTGCACTGGACAGAACCTATTCATAATTGTTGTTATGAAATGATTTGTAACACCCCAGTCACATTTCCTACGGCGACCTTGCGGTCTATCATTTCTGCGGCCAGTAGCTTTTCTACGCTCGCCGCAGAATTTCTGCGCTCTCATACTTTTGCAGTCACATTTCCCACGGCAGCCGCACGGTGAATTTTAAATGTCTATTGATAAATAATAGTTTTTTCATTTTATTTACATCAGGACAATTTATAAATGTTATTCAAAGTGCTGGGATGTAATATCAAACGAAAAGTGATCGTAAAACATTGACAAATAATGATTCAATCTTGTTGAGACACTTGATTTCTACGGGGACCTCAGAACTGAACAAATATTATAACTCCGAGTTATAATTTCTACGGCGACCCTGCGGCCTCTAAAAAACTGGATACGCCGCACGGAGGCCCCAAGGCGAGCGTAGTTTTCCTACGCTTGCCGCAGAAATACACTGATTTAATTGATCTGCGGTCGACGCACGCCCTCCGTACGACAAATGTGACTGGGGTGTTACAGACGCTCATGAGATATGCTTAGTTAGTGAGACTTTTCCAATCTATTTCTTTAATGTTATATTTCAAATGAGTAGATGTATATCAAACAATGAAACAAAACTTGTTTTATTCATATTTATTATAATGTGATACAGATACAGAATGACATTTGGCTTTGGGGGACGCTCTCTCATCGCTGGAGACTTATAGTGTGTTATGCACAACAATAGTATTCGCGTTCAGCAGAAAATCCAACTGTTTTCTCATAAAGTTGAGCGAGTCTTAAAATCAAGTGTATTTTCGTTCAGCACAAACATTATCTCCCACTATTGAGTGAGTATTTTCGTAATAGGCACAACGATTATCTCCCAAAGTTGAGAGACTGTCTTATAGAAACAAGAATATTTTTGCGCAGTACAACGCTTATGTCCCACGGTTGCATAATTATTTTCTTCTGCACAACGCTTATCTCCCACAGTTGCATGAGTATCTTCTTCTGCACAACGCTTATCTCCCACAGTTGCATGAGTATTTTCTTCTGCACAGCAATTATCTCCCAAAGTTGAATGAGCGTATTTCCAAAGTTAAATGCGTATCTTAGCAATGCAAGAGTATTTTTGAAAGATATGTTCTATTGCAGGAATTTGATATTTCTTTTATTTCGAAAAGGCTTGACAAGAAATTGAAGACTAGATTTTTACTAGAACAATTATTTTCTTCGGAGACCATTCATATATCACGTAAGATTGGGTTTATTGAAATATATCATACCTTGTTTTTACACGTGGGTGTTTATTCGGAATTTAATTTCCGTTTCGAAATATTTTACCTGAGTCAAAAACGATCATGAGACCCTGGACCCCGAGAAGCAAGATTTTTAAGGTAAAAGGTTAATGACATAAAAAAGAGAATAACGGGAGTAGCATTAATTATCTCTCTATATCACCCTATGCACTGCAGACAGAGCCTGTGGGAAATATTGGGTGCGGAGCAAATGAGCGGAGGGTGCGGAGCTAACGGTCATTTTTGAATTTAAATTTGGGATATTTCTGAAACTAAGCCGTTTTGGGACTTCAAATATACCAAGATATGTGTATTTGACACCAAATATCAATACAATTGTGAAAATAGTAGCGCAATTCATTCTATAGCGACGCAGTGTGCCTTAAACCTTTCCCAGACCTATATATTTTGAAATTATCGTTTTAATACTGAGTCCGCAGCATTCATAAAAAATGGTGTTCAAGGTACACTATCTATACAAATTATTTTTGCATCTTGGAAGCGAGACAGTATCTGTTTGATTTTATAAAAATCGGAAATGTTTTTCAGATATGAGCCCCCTCTAAATATTGGGTGCGGTGTAGCTCCATAAACGTACCTCCGCACCCAATATTTAGAGGGGGCTCATATCTGAAGAACATTTCCGAATTTTTATAAAATCACACAGATACTGCCTGGCTTCCAAGATGCAAAAATAATTTGTATAGATAGTGTACCTTGATCACCATTTTTTATGAATGCTGGGGACGCAGTATTAAAAGGATAGTCTCAAAATATATAGGTCTGGGAAATGTTAAAGGCATACTGCGTCGCTATAAAATGAATTGCACTACTATTTTCACAATTTTATTGATAATTGGTGTCAAAGACACATATCTTGGTATATTTGAAGTCCCAAAACGGCTTAGTTTCAGAAATATCCCAATTTTAAATTAAAAAATGACCGTTAGCTCCGCACCCTCCGCTCATTTGCGCCGCACCCAATATTTCCCACAGGCTCTGTCTGCATAGGGTGTATATATTGTACCAGTTTTGCGATACTAGCTTGTTACAGCCTTGTTTTACAATTATTAGCATTTTAACTATTAAACATTTTCACCTGTTTTTGAGATATTACCGTTCAAAATTTGAAGAGATAAATTTTTTCAATTTTCCTAGATACGATTTTACTTGTTTCAAATTGAGCACTTCTTTTAGAATTGTCATCAGCGCCTCCGTAGCTCCTATAAAAACACAAACAAAAAATGTCATCTGGTTTAAAAGTTTTATTTTACCAGAACTAGGAATACATGAGATTGCAAACGACTCCAGTAGTATCTCCTGGAAAACGAATCACATTTATAACTCTCATCATGCCAGTGTTGTCTTTCACAAACGAGGACTGGTATGTCCCATTTCCATATGCAGGATGTGTGACGAAACCACTTGCTCCATAAGGTTTCATTGGCACATATGCTACAACAGGAATTCTTACCAAACCCTCTATAGAACAGCGTTTCTTTGAATTAGGCTTAATCATGTAGACGCCAGCAATTACAACATCTCCCGGGTAAAGAGGTTTGCCATAGCTACCTCCTGCCTTGAGTTCCCTCTTTATTACAATATTAAAACTAATTTCCAGGATTTCCGGTTGGTAATAATACACCCGGCACTTGCAATATTTCGATTCCAGTGCTAGACGATACGCCCCTGGACTAATCGGGTAAGTCTCAGTAGAGAAGGTATAATCTCCTTGATTTACAATTGATGCGTTGTAAAGCTCGTCATCAGAAACATTGGGGCTCAGTCCAAACCTACACTTGAAAAAAGCAAGTGCTTTTCTTCCTGAAGAATATTAGAATAAAAATTATAATAGAATAATAATCTCTGGTGAAAACAACACCGTTCTCGATTTGTTCCATACCATTGTCCAAAGGAATGGAACTGCATGGAATAGTTCAATATGTGTATTCATTCGGAAAAAATTCTACACCTGAAATATATAATCTAATGTAATTTAGTACTTCGTTTAAAGACGAACTTTTCCCTGACCTATTATCCATTTCTATATATGTTTTATATTGTGTTTTATACCTGCTTCTATGATCTTCTCCCTGGTGTCCCGGCCTGCCATTCTGTGATATTCATGTGCAGTTGTCATCTTTGTCGGTGGGAATGAGCCTACAGCTCCACTGAACTCCCCAACGAATACAAACATCCTGTCATAGCGCTCATTACCGTTTGTATTAACCACGGGGCAGCGTTTTCCTGGACCTGGACCTGGACATGCTTTTGATGATTCTGCTCGATACAATATTATGCCCATAAGAACAATAAGTAATCTCATGTAGCTGAAAGATAAATATGATAATAACCCAGATGCGAGTAGAAATAATCTTGATTTACGTCATTAAAAATTCAAAATTCAGTCAAAGTAATATCATATTTGAAATCTACATGTAAAATTACATCTAGAAATGTGGTTTTAAAAAGTGTTTATCAACTTTGAAAAATTAATTTTCTTTGAAAATGTGACTTCCAGCTCGGGGAGATTCCCCATAGACCACATGCTATAAAATCACAAAAAATGAAATATCTTTTCTTTTAGTGGACAGATAATATTTTGCTTTACTGGACATATTTTCATTAGTATAAGTATCAGACACATAAGGGTTATATGAAAATTGAGCCACTTAAATTGATAATATTCAAGTTTAAGGGAACTTTCTTATATACCTGCCATGTTAATTGACCCGAATCAGCCACCTGGTGGTGAAACTGGTAACTACCTACTCGCATTGGGTAATTGATGATGTAGTGATTTGAATAGATGACGCACTACTCACGAATGTTTCTAAACAAAAGCCTCGATGTAAATGTCGTTTTGTAGTAGGGGAGCCAGAGGGTGTAAAAGGTAGATCCTATGACCCACCTAATAAGAACTCACAATTCATTACTAAATTAAAGCAAATAAGTATGTCAGGTTCTTCACTTCATTGTTCCTTTGTCTTGAACTAGGATCGACGATGCCATGGCACTCAAAAACAACAACATTATGGATCCAATCCATTTTAACCACGTATCTTGGAACGGTATTGTGCTTTAACTAGACAAACCAACGCATGAACTTAAATATTAGATATGAACAATCTTTTAGGAAATCCATCGGATTTTTTTTTCTTGAAGTTTTTTTGAAAAAATCAAAATGCCATCTTTTGATTGACGGGAATAAAATTTCTTTTGGTAACATAAGTGACTAAGACGAATGTAGATATATAGACCCAACTTGAATAGACTAGGTGGAGTAAAAATAATTTGGATTTAATACGTCATTAAAAATTCAATCACATTGATGTCATTGGAATCTACATGTAAAACTACATCTAAAAATGTGGTTTTGAAAATAGTTTATCAACGTTAAAAATGTAATTTCTAGGTCGGGGAGATTCCCCATAGACCCCATGTTGTAAAATCACGAAAAGTGAAATATCTTTTCTTGTGTTGGGCAGATAATATTTTCTTTTACTGGACATTTCAATTTGTATAACTATCAGATACATGAGGGTAATATGAAAAGTGAACCGCTAACCTGATGATTAATCAAGTTTAGGGGAACTTTGTAATACCCTGTCAAGTTATTTCCCCCGAATTAGCCACCTGGTGGCAAAGCTGGTAACTACCTACTCGCATATGAGTAATTGACTGTATATCAAGCCATAAGTAACTGTCAAAGAGATGTACAATACATCGATACACGATCGACTCCTCGAATCCCGAGCCTTATTATCAAACAAAACCAAGTTATGAAACAAATGTACCAGTGAGTATGAAACAATTTTTGCCAGAGGATACGAACATATCTAAAATTAAATACCACTTGCAAGATCCATTTTATTGGAAATGAATTTAATTGAGCTTAATTTTTTTCGAAAAATTCCCCATTGAAAAATTATTTCAAAATAGTCCCCTATTCATGAACGTACTAATTTAACGTTTTCCCCTCTCTAAAGGTTAAAGATAAGTACACACGTTGCAAATCTCTGTTACAATCCCTAGATCTATTATATCATTATAGATATTATAGATGTTAAGAGATACAGCCTGTATCAGTAGGGTATACGTCTAGCAGATACTGATTTTTTTAACACAAACTTTGAGAAATGTGGTTTCTTAAATTAGGCTTTGCATTTGCTCTGCCGATGTTGACAGAAAATCCATGTTTTTCTCGTGTATATGAATAGTTAAGCAACTTTTTTGTATAATGTCAACTTTATTGTAATTTACTTATTTTTTAATGTAAAGGGATGGTCACGTTAAATGAGATTAGATGATTATAAATTAGTATTAGGGCCTATTCACGATAAGGGATATATGTTGGAAAATGATTAGTTGACAAGTCGAAGATAATATTAGCAATAAAAAGTCAAAACTTTGAAAATTATTTCATGGTAATGATAAGCCGCTACTGATATCAACACAAACGTTGCATGCAGATTTTTATAGAACAACAGAAATTGATATACATAACAAGGTAAATGACCAATTATTAATTCTTGATTCCATTTTGTATTAAAGTTTAGTAAAAAGTCTTCTTACCGTATGTTGTACATCGTGAATGTTTTCTGTTGCGTAACTATGATGTATTTATGAAGTCATTCCCTTAATTTAATTCTTTATATAGTATTATAGTTTTTATTATGTGTATGGAATTATTGATAACAGGCTTTAGGCTTCATTAACTTGTGTGCATCATGTATACGGTATGTCGGCAAATATGGTGCGACAAATGATGCTTTTTGGACATTGGCGGATGCACGTAGGATTACCAGCGACTTTAAAATTAAGATTACATAGGGTGAACTAAAGTCACGTTGGTTTGGACTCAACTACAGAACTTAGACTAGATGCGAGTAGAAATAATCTTGATTTACGTCATATTCAAAATTCAGTCAAAGTGATTTCATATTTGAAATCTGCATGTAAAAGTACATCTACAAATATGGTTTCGAAAATTGTCTATCAACTTCTTGTTCGGGTTAATTCCCCATACAGCCCATGTTACAAAATCACAAAAAGTGAATTATCTTATCTTGTATTGGACTGATAACATCTTCTTTTACTGGACATATTTTAATTTGCATAACTATTAGATACATAAGGGTTATATGAAAATTGAACCACGCAGATAGATGTAATTTAAGTTAAAGGGAACTTTCTACTATACCCGCCATGCTATCTGACCCGTACGAGTCATCTGGTGGTGAATCTGGTAACTACCTACTCGCATCTGCGATGATTCGATGGCTCTCCTTATCTTGGTAGATGTCAGTTTCAAAAGAAGAGGAAAGAAGTGCTTGCTTGAACGCTTCTACAGCCAACTTATATGATACTGGACTGTATTCCATCCTTTGGCTTTGTGCAATGAATACAATGAACAATGAACATTGTTGTGTATTTCACACTGATACCGGTGTGTCCGAGTCCATCCAATCCGAACACAGATTTTCATATAACTACAGTACATTATATCACCAATCACCGCACCCAAAGGCACTCCTTGTGTGGTTGCCAAGGTTACAATTTGACTCTATAGATTGAAATTGATGCTTTGCCAACTTGACCTTTGCAAAAAATTTCATTGAAAATATGTTCAAAATTGCAGGAAATTCAAATGTTTGAATATTATGAAACCAACAATTTTTGGGAAAATCATTACATATATAATATTTGGATAATGCAACAATCTTTTGCACAGAGCAATAGTTTTATGTAACCACAACAAGATTGTGGTCTAGTTACCAGTGGTCCCCACACCTGGTTAGATGTCTTTATAACAAAATGGATGAACTTCCGTTGGAGGAAAAAAATCTTCATCATTTTCACAAAGGAGGTTTATTTGTATCCAAATATTTTACCCGTATGTTATTCGTAACATCGGTTACTGAAAGGCGAATCAGTCACGAGTATATACATCCAATGGCTCCAATAACCGAACGAAAATTCCTCACTTCAGCAGCCGGCAGGACATTAATAGGCTACAACACAACCACTGGTGATCCACTCGATTGCGCTGGTTACCGAAACGGTTCGTTTTCACGCGTTGTAGGCAGAATCCCCACGACGTTTTTTCCCACAAACGTATACCAGTATCATATGTCTTAGAAAATGTTCATGTTTGCGAAAAATAGCTCAGAACTTGGACAACAGAATCGTTGATTTAATTCCTCACTAAGTTACATAAACGGTTTGGGTTAAAAGTGCAGATCTTAACTGTTTTTCGAAAAACCGTTTATTCAGCTTAAGTGAAGAATTAAATCGACGATTCTGTTGTCTTCTGAACTATTTGTTCGCACATATGTACATTTTCTTAAACAAATGATACTGATACACGTTTGTGTAAAAAATGTCGTAGGAATTCTGCCTACAACGTGGTTGCTGAAGTGAGGAATTCGCACTTAATTATTGGAGCTGCTGGATACATTTACTCGTGGCTGACTAGCTTTTCAGTAATCGGATGCAACTATCAACATACCAATACGCGTAAAATATTTTGATACAAATCGATCTCCTTCTTGGTGAAAATGATGAAAACAAAAATTACTCCTCCAAAAGTCAATCCATTTTGTTATAAAGACGTAACGACCAGTGGTTACGAAATATGACATCAGTTGGTCGTTTCATTCATGAATAAAGCAGGGAGATTATAGTTGACATATTTGAAATAAATACAACACATTATTAGTCTCTTATTCCATTCATATAAATCCAACAGCGAACAAGATCTAAAACAAAAATGAAAATAACATAACATATTTGCATTACAAGTTACATCATCATCAGGCAATCTAAAAGTGCTCAGATTTAGGATAAAATGCCTTGACATCAATTACATAACAGGTAATAACAATATCATGGACTTAAAAATAATCACCAACTATGTCATTTATTATGTATGTATATTTATTATGTATAAAGTAATTAAAAATGTACCTACATGATAGTACCAGTGTAGGTTGACTGAGTCCATGCATTCCTAACGACATTTAATTATAAGAGGATACATATTTTAACAGTGTAAACTTCCTTGATACACAAAAGGCTCAATTGCGACCATAAATAATATGTTATAGACATAAAGATTACATTGCCGTGTATTAACTTTACACGGTGTATGTACTTTTAAAAAAATATGAAAATAATAAACATTTTATAAGAGAGATCAAATCGACTTGAATCATCGGTTTATGAAAAATGTCTCTCTGATAAACCTCTTCAGATTTTTTTAATTTTCTATTTTGATAGGATAATGTAATCAAAAACATACCAAATGGACAAGATAGTTTAGAAATGGAGTTGTGATTTGAAATATTATAAACCGGAGTTTTTCGAATCAAAATCCTACCGATAGCAACTCGATGGACCAAATAAACCATACGATCAGATCTTCTTTAATCAGTAAAAAGGAATTGCATTTCTACATGTGCTGCCAGCTGCCCTCCTCCTTGGCCGTTCTATGCGCCCGTTTAATTTGTTTGTCTCAGTTGACATATCATTGATCTACTTGACCTAGACTTTTATTGAAATTGTGATGTCTGAGGCGGACAATTACTTAGCCTTTTCCAGAGACATATGTTTTATATATATGTCTCTGTCTTTTCTAATTTATATAAGAACTTCTCCTTTCGTATGACAGCAATCATATCGGTTGCAAATCGTGTGAGAAGTGGTAAACAATGAGTTTCATGCATAGCAAGTTTATAAATGCAACTAACACTCAGTTAAATTCTCAATATGTTCTTAAAAACGTATTGCCGTACAGGCTTTAAACTGCATGCGAATATTGCGAACGGATTGGACGTAGTTGGAACTTTTTACGATGTTTTTTCCTTACTTTATGGACGCACTCTGAGGAAAGGTGACTGTTTTATGAACACACCAAACTAGACCCTAATATCACACCAAACTAGTTCTCACTACGTTCCCGAAAACGGGCTTAAACTGTGTACGAACGGATTGGACGTACTTAGAACCGTTTGGGGTCTATTTACATATTTCATTAACATACTCGAACGGGTATAACCCCAGCACATATAGCATGCTAGATTTTGCTGGTGGTCGTCACGTTCTGCAATAATTTAGAACGAGTGCCAACTTATTTTAGACGAGTTGGACGTACTGCAAACGGAACTGTTGTACTCAAATCACACTAGGGACATTTTTAGAACGGGCTGTACGTGCAAATGGGTTTAAACTGATTAAAGACGTATTAAAGACTGCTTATGAACGAATTAACAAAAATATAGCTATCACGCCAAACTAGTTCCCACCGTGTTTTTCAAAACATTCCCGAACTGGTTTTAAACTGTGTGTGAACGAATGAACGTAGCTGCAACTTTCTACGGTCTATTTAAAAACTTCATGGACGCGTGCTTGTACGGGAAGGTGATTTTGAATTGTGAACCATTTCAAAAGTCGATGGTGACCATCGTGATGATCGTTTTTGCGTCCATCCCGCTGTACATAGCTGTTATCCTAGCTCGGTGACCGAGTAAGTTACGTCCGTATGATAATGGTGTAATATGGGCTTTCAAGAGAAAGTGGTTACTGGCTAATAGTGCAGGAGAAACTTTTCAAATGGTTAAAATGAAGAACCAAGAGCTTTTTTCAAATGAGAAAAACATTTTTGAAAAATGTGAAATCAGTCAAACAAGTATTAAGTTATTGGAAGTTGTAAGAATTTGTTACAGACGCCGACCACCGGACGCCGACCGAGGGACGCCAACCGGCGTCACAAAAAAGTTTGAGACCATAACAATATGTCTAATGACATGTCTATATGCGATGACATAAAAATGAGGAGGGCTACTTATCCATTATCTATCAGTATCTAAATGACGTTTTATATTTATTGTTATGCTTATGTTGAAGATAACATTTTGTTCTAGTGTAACACTACTCCCATTCAAAAATAAAACTGACCAAAATACCGCGATTCACTATGTGGTGGTTTAGGACGGGATATAGGAAAAAAAGTCAAAATCTGTCTCAATCTAACAATATTTTTTCTCACAACATTCATTTTCATTTCTATTTTCAAATAAAAAGGCAAGAGTGAATTATTTAAGAAATACAGACCGAATAGCAGAATACACCCCCCAGGAACTTAGGCACAAAAGTTTCTGTACCCTGAACGACCAAAGGGAGTGAGGGGTTCGAAAGCTTTTGTGCCTAGCCCTAAGGGTTGTATTCGACGATATTACATCTGCTCTGAGGTCTATATTACGATTCGAACATGAAAACTCACCTAATTGTTTCGAATATGCATTATGGTCCGCCATTACTACGGTCCGCCGTTATGACAAATTACACATATTACCAGGGGCAATGTTCGCGAATATACCCCGGGTGAGATGTTGACTTTGTTTACAGTTTACAGAAGGCGTGAAAAAAGTCATGTTCGAATATTTATTAGGTATCAGAGTGACATTTCAGTGAGAATAAATTGATAGAACATCCTGTATAATCAACTTTTTATTTGTATAGTTTATATGAAAATGGAACAATCCATAGTACAATGTATACATGATAATTCAGTGAGAATCGTTGGTTCCAGTGATGTAGTTGAACATAAGTGAGATGCAAATAAAACTTGCAATTGAACTTAAGCAGAAAATATTTGCTGTGCAAGGTGTTTAACTCAAGAATGGCAACTATTCTAGTATCAAATCCAGCCCCAGGGTGTGGCATACTATAATATACCTGTAACTTTGATTCATTTTGGGCCTACTTTATTAATAATAGACTTCATTGAATTAAAAACAAGATTTCTTGAGCAGCTTTTATGAAGTGAGAATACTAGTATTAAGCAAAAACTATATATCTTAACACCTCTCAATGTGAACACTTTTTCTCGATCCAAAAATATCTCCCATTGACTTGTATGTTGTACACCTGCTAATCCAAACACTTTTGGCCAGTCCCAGGGGTGTTTGGATGAGACAGGTTTCACTGGAAGCCATATGAAAATGCAGAAATTGAAATTCATCCAAAATCTTTAAAATTCACTGCATCATTGAACTGATTCAAAGTGCATTAGGTACTGGTTCAGAACTAATTTCCTTTGTTCTGGGTCAGTTTTTAAACATATGCAACTGGTTCAAAATGACTGGTTTTGACCTGTAGGTTTACAATGCAACAACACTTGTAGCCTGAGCCTTCTCTGAACAATCTTACTTGTTATATTTAAAAATAGTCTAGTTACAACCCTTTCGACCCCCCCCCCCCTCCTTATACACCTCCTCTTGTGTTGTGTTGGTGAAGTAGATGGGGGAGGTCCAAAGCCTTGAAATAAGACTGATTTAGAAATACACCAATAAGTATTGTTTATATGCTACAAAATCTTTTCCACTATTAACATGAGCTCACCCGAAGATATACAGATGTTGTATTGTAATTGTAATGACACTTTATGGACACCCTGTATATTTCCATACCTGAAAGAGGGCCACAAAATGCCAGATAAATGATGACAAATTAACCATTACCATAAAGTATAGTGGATATATTACCTACCCTGTTTCCATTGCCAGTTGCCCTCTGAGTATTTAAGATGAATCATCATATATTCAACCAATCAAACACTGCAGCTGTTTTTATATGTAAATATGGTAATTAAAAGTGGCTGAGTGTGACAGGCTCTGATAAGTTTTATGAGTCAAAAATTTATTTTTAATCTAAAGAGGCCTGGAATAGTAATTATTCTTGTCCAGGGTAGTTGTTCTCAGAAACACCCTGAGATAACTAGCCATAATAGGATGATTCATAACTTAAAACAATAAACATCACAATATCCCTTCATAAAGGACTTCCCTATAGATTTAAATATGAAAATGGTTATAACAATCTAACATTTACATATAACGCAATCAAATCAATGTTGAACATGGTTAAGTATTAGAAATGCTTGGCACTTGGGGAAAATGAATGCTGTTGAGCTATATACCGCATATGCACCATTATGATATGTTAAAGACAAAGGCCTCAATTTTGAAATTTTGGTTACAATTCTAAATGCATCTCTGTAACACTGGAGATCATAATTAAAGTGGCAGTAAAGGATAAAGGACATTTTTTCTCAATTTATGGTTTCTCTTAACACATGTAAAATTTTCATCTTACAATTCTGACCAACGACTGTGAGTGTTTAAGAAATTAAAAAATTGATACATTTTCAAGGAATAACGTTTTTGGGATATTTTACAAAACAGGAAGGAATGCAGTGAATGAAAAATGTGACAAATTTTCCAAAATCAAGTTATCCCTACTATCATTAATGACCTTTGCTGCCTCTTTTAAAGTCTGCATTACTTATGATTAATTTTCCAAGCCATACAATAAAAGTTTCAAATAAATGATTTCCGTATAAATCACAATACAAGTAGATCTATTACTGTCTGGCTTTCATGATAAGTGAAGTGACAGTCTTTTATAAAAATAATCAAGTATCAAATTTATATAATTTCAGATGAATGTATGTAATGTTGACACTTGTTGATTCATAGGGTATACATGTACATATATCACAAAAAATGATATAATACAAAAAATGTCCAAATATACTTTATCTACATATTTTGAGACTAGTCAGATGACACTGTTAATACAAAACCACTCTAACCACAAAGATTCAGCAAATTGCGATAAAATTTAAGACATAGAGCATTGTTTTTGATTCTTGTTCTTTTTGCGTTGATCTTTCCTATATTTGAGACCCATGATTAATCCAGTGTAAAAAACTTCTTCGAGCCCATCAAGAAGCTGTGATGAGCATTCAAGATATTGTTGCGCTCCAGCCTTATCTGCAATTTCTTCACCATTTTCCCAAGTCATAATATCCCCGCCACTTTCCTCTATTTCTTTGACCTTGTCTACATTTTTTCTAAGATCAGTTTTTGTACCAATTATGATATAAGGCACATTTGGAAGATATTTTTTAAATTCAGGAACCCACTTATCAATAACATTTTGGGCTGATTTTCTATTGGTTACAGAGAAACAGATAATTCCTACATCGGTATTTGGGTAGGTTAGTGTGCGGAGTCGGTCGTAATCATCCTGACCCGCTGTTTCCCAAACCTCAAGGACTGCATTCTGTTTTTTGAAGATAAAATTCATGATATAATGATCAAACACAGTAGGGACGTAATCTTGCTTTGGGAACTGTTTTTTACCATATGTCATACACATTGATGTTTTGCCAGATTCCCCATCACCGATGACGACACATTTTACTTTATATTTGATATCAGGATCATTCAATGCTTCATTACTGCCCATTATTTCTTTGTAGTGGTCAAGGTTTTGCTCTATTGTTTCAACCAGATTCGACATTTTTTCATCTTGTTTCTCTCTCTCACTTTCAAGCTCTGCAATGAGTCGTTCATAGTGGCTGATTTTTTCTTTACTGTCCATCAAATCTTGCATGCTCTTTCGTAAGTCTGCGATTTGGAGCTTCGCTTTCTCCATTTCTAATTTTGTTAGACGTACAATAACATTCTGCTCTTTCAGCTGCGATTTTAGTTCTGTCAGTGTATCAGTTTCTTCTTCCGGTGAAGAAGCTACATCATCAGGGTCAATATTTATCAGCAGATCGGCAAGAAAATCATAAGTTGCTTCACGTAGAGAATCACAAAATATTTCAAAAGTTTTTGGATTTGATTTACGTTGTAATACACTGAGCAAATGGCGTACTCCTTGAGCTCTCGTAACTTCCGCTCGGATATCTTCACAGTCTTCTTCTGTGACAACTGCTTCTTGATACAATCTGTCGAGAACATGATCAGCAGTCAAGTTGCGCACTAACACTACATAATTCGCTCTAAGTCTTTTCCTCGTAATCGGATCCATTTTGATGTAACTAGTGGCTATATGTGGTCATTCAAACTGGCGTTGATTTCTGCAAGTGGAAGGAGAACAATTTTTAATTTAAAAAAAAAAAGATTTTTGATATTTTTGTTCAATGATGAATTTCTTGAAATTTGTAGCTTCGAAACACATAAACGTTTAAGCGAATATAAACTAATATACCAAGTTTTATTACCTGTATCAAAATATTCCGTTGCGCATGTATTGACAAAGAAATTTCCCAAAAGATGACACATTTAAAAACTTGCTTCCTGACCGGAAGTTAGGCCATCTTTTCAAGTTCTGCATTTTGATTGGCCGAGAGCTCAGTCATGTGATCAAAATTCTTGGCGGCCTTGAAATGGTGGACGAAAATTGAATTTCGAATCTCTACACATTTTTACTGTTTTGAGGATTATTTGAGGCGTATACATGGCAGATAAGACTGCACCAAAGTCTCAACTGAGACTGGAATGGGTGTACGGCTACAGGGGCCACCAGTGCAGGAATAATCTCTACTACACGGCTTCGAAAGAGATTGTTTATTTTGTTGCTGGAGTCGGGGTCGTGTACAACAGTAGGGAGCATAAGCAGAAGTTTTTTCTTGGACATGATGATGATATTCTCAGGTTTGTGTTTCTTTCTCAGATTGATGAGTTCTTTTTGATTGTTGTTGCTCTTCAGTCAAATATGTTGCTACATGGATTCGTCTACAGATCATCCAGACTAAGTTATAGAATATTGGGTGATACTTGTGTGCCGTCAACTCGATTCGGGCCCGTCAACTCAGATTTTGGAGAAGTTACTGTGGATAATGATTGGTCAATTTTAAAAAAGCGTCGTGATTGATTGGTGAATGGAATTGCCCTCAGTATTTGATAGGATAATTTAGATGACAGATACAGAAACTGAATTGACATACATGCAACTGAGTAACCAAACCCGTCTGGCCCAGTAATCTACTCCCGTTTCTGATTGTCGTAGATCTAGGCACAACTCAGGAGTAGATAACTGGGCCAGACGGGTTTTGTTAGCAACTGAGGTGACGGGTAACAGAAAATTACAGACTAGCTTTCGCATCCATACTTTAATATGATATATGACATGGCTAAATATTTTGTTCCAGTCTTGCGTTACATCCAGAAAGAGCTCTTGTGGCTACAGGACAGATTGGGAAGGAGCCTTACATATGTGTATGGGACTCTTACTCCATGCAAACTGTGTCCATACTGAAGGATGGCCACCAAAACGGAGTGGGAGCCATGTCTTTTGACAGAGAGGGCAATGTGAGTGTTTATATACATGTAGGAGTAAAGCTTGTTTGTTAGTGGAACTGGAACACCTCTGTAAGTGAAACCCCTAAATGATTAGAACATCTTTCAAAGTCCTGTTTCTCATTCACTTATGTAAAATGATACTCTGTAAATGGAAAACCTTCCGAGAGAAGAGAACCACTATTTTTTGTGGTAGCAAAGCCATTGCACTTTCATTCAAATTTTTATTATTTTTCTCATTTTCAAATGTGTTCAGTGCCTTTTCATTGATTCTATTTTTAACTGATTCAAATCCATTCTCAAATCACTTTGTTTCAGAGGCTTGTATCTGTGGGGCTAGATCAGCATTCTACAATAGCTGTCTGGGACTGGAGGAAGGGAAAGATTATCTCAACTGTAAGAGGACACTCTGATAGGGTAAGTAAACCCATTAATTTGCTTTTGTACTATGGTGACCATGTATTGAAATGTTAAATAGGGTTCATGGTTTATAGCCACGTTCTAAAATGTGAGGCCAAATTGAATGGGGATATACTACTGTTACTAACTCATGAACTTTACTTTAAAAGTTCAGGCTTAAAAATAGATTTCTGTTAAAACTATTGAAAGTCCACCCCATGCCTTGTAAATAACCCTCTTAATTGACTAGAATGACATAATACAGGTCCATTCTTTTCAAAAGATAGAGTAGGATAATACATTTCGCCATCTATCATAATCTAAATATATCTGTTATAACTGAGTTTCCATCTTCTTGTTCTCATGTTTTCAAAGTTTCCTTTTTACTTCTCCAGGTTTTAGACATCCAATTCAACATCTTTCAAGACAACACAATCGTCAGCTGTGGAGTAAAACATATTAAATTCTGGACTTTATGCGGGAATGCCCTCACAGCCAAAAAGGGTGTTTTCGGCAAAGTTGGGGACATCCAGACGATTTTATGTCTTGCTTTCGGCCAGGATAATGTTACATATTCTGGAACGCTGTCAGGAGATGTCTATATATGGAGTGCTAATAATCTCACAAGGGTGGTAGAGGGCGCTCATCAGGTGAGTAAATTCTAAAGCTCAACCCAAGGGCCACATGGTTTCATTTTGCTAACAGAAAGGAAAAGGAGAAAAATATGTATATACTATCTAATATCTAATACTATTCCTAATTTTTTGACTCTTGAAATTGAATTTAAAACACAACAATTCAGCAAGAAATAAACTATTTAATTACCATTTTAATCAGGTTTTAATTACATGGATTTCTTCAATTTTGGAGTGAAAATACTTGACCTTTAGCGAAATTCCAATTAATTAATGTGTCCATACTGGCCCATATTCTTGTGGAAAGTGAAATGATGATTAATAATTAAATTGGTTTAGGGGAGCATATACAGTATGTATATGGCAGATGAAGGGTTTGCCACAGGAGGCAAGGATGGCTGTGTACGTTTGTGGGATGCAGACTTCAAACCTCTCACTAAAATGGATGTCAAAGAGACCCAGGAAGGCTATCCAGGTAAGATAGATAGATAGATCGTCGCATGAGAATAACTTTGTACTATCTCACATTTTTACGGAACTGAGAAATCAAGGTTTGAAAGTTTAGAGGTCTGTATCTTACTTAGTATTGCTATGTGAAACTTGATTTTTTGTATGTCACCTGGTCTCACCCTAGAGATATCTTATATGAAATATCATACCTTGAAACAATTTACAAGATCCTTTTTTAAAACTATGGAAATGGAGTTGATACAATTTCCCACCGGAATAACAGCTTATTTCTAATTTCAAATTGTCATATCTGCTATCAACTGTTTCAACCAATCAACTCTCTAAGAATTGGTCATGTGACTTGCAAAACTTGGAGTTATAACAATCTTATATTAAAACAAAGTATGCCAATATGCATGTTATTGTATCTAGAATGAAAAATAATGTTTTGCTTTGTAAAAAAGTCTTCAAAAACCAAAGAATATTATTTAATAAAATAAAGAAAATTCAATTTATAAAACTTTAAAATCAATTTCTCAAATAAGTACAATTATTTCTTAATTTTGGAATCTCAGGACACCCTTCAAAAAGAATTTATTGCCTTTGAAACTAAGGCAGAAGTACAATGCATTGAAACCAATGAAGCCAATACGGTCCCCCATATATTTCCCTCGGTATAAACCCTGTAGCCTAAACCTCCCAGCACATTTCAATGTAGCCCCTAAGGGCCGGTCCGCTGGTCATTATCAGGTTATTTTTGATACAGACCAGTTGATATTTTCACTGGGTATAGGAGAATAACATTGGAACTGGTCTGTAATTCCATTTTGACCAGCAGGTTTCAGATCCTTAGGGCCTAAGACATAACCAATTTTTATTACATGCACATGGAAGAAATTTGAAAATAGAAAAATAAATTCTAATTCATTTTAGATTAATGAAAGTGATGAAACCTCGATTTAGGTAATCACATTTTGTTCATTGGGATGCAGCTATCATTATCCATTCATTTTCTGTTGTTTGCTACTCTGTGGAGTACAATTGGGAATTGAAGCAATTGTAGAAGTGGAGACTAAGAGTGGCTCTTTGTAAAGAAATTGAACCAATTTGTTACTTTTCCAAAATAAAATGTAGATGATCTAAAAACAATGATCCCAAAAATGTAAAAGAAAGGACAAATAGTAATAAAATAACTAAAAAGATCCCAGATGTTCAGTGAAAAGCGCAAAGTAAATCATAGATGAAGAGAAAATAAAATAAGTATTTTAAGGGACTATACTAACATAAAGATAACTCCTTATTGATATAGTGTATGGTCAGTAAAAGTTAAAGCTAGTTTAAATAGATTTAGCTTTTTTCCACAAACTATAAAACATCATTTTGAAAGAGATTTCAATAGTATACAGACAGTGATTGCCTTTGAGCAATGTAGTGCAAAATATGACAGTTACTATTTGTTTTGATTACTATATCTAGTATATAACCTATTATTATGTACTCTATTTGAAGAAACAAATAAGTAGTCTTTCATTTTCAACATTTAATGATGACAGCTTCGTATATGCATTTCTATTGCATTTGGCCATTCAAACCCCTATAAGACCTGGTAGCAGGGAAGATAAAGGGTACTTTTGACTGCTCACATGATCTAATTAACTGGTCATTTGTACTTTTCATCTTCCCTGGTAGCGAGGATTTAGGTTTTCGAGGAAATATTAGTAATTCTATTTCATATCATGTGGCCATGAATAATCTAATGAGCATCCATAATACAAACAGTAATTGAGGGCATATAATTTGAATATGCATGGGATTACACATACTGTATCATTTTATTTTTTTTGATCTACTTGTAATAGTTCTAAAACTAAAACATGAAAGGCCAGGCATGCAAACTGGCATGGTATTGTGTTACAAAACATTATTTCATTCTAGATACAATAACATGCATATTGGCATACTTCGTTTTAATAAAGAACTCCAAGTTTTGCAAGTCACATGACCAATTCTTAGACAGTTGATGTCATGGTCATGCTTTAAAATGGAAAAAGTAAAAAAAGAAATAAGGAATGATTGAAATAAGCATTTGAGGAATGTCTGTACATGGAATAAAAGAGCTGGCTTTGAAATACAGTATAATTTCCATGAAAATAGAGTCCCCTAGAACAATATAGAAACCCCAGAAAATCAGGTCCTGATCAATAGAGAAATGGGAAAATGTATAGATTCTAGCCGTTGATTTACTCTGAATTAAATGCTTATGATTTTTTCTTGGTTAATTTATGGGTTATTCTTATGTTTAATGCATGTTTTGCCTGTGTAATGGTCACATTTTGATAAATCAGCTGAAATCAAATAACCTATAGCATTCGGATAAGTGTACCGCTGTCAGAAACAGTGGTTAATGGAGTGAGCCAAAAGTGTTCAGTTAACACAGTTGTACAATGTGCATATATGCTATACATGTACATTATATTGCCTAACACTAGTTTGCCTTTTTAAAAACTTTAATCATAACATTTTGTTTAAAACTAGGAATGCATGGATCTATATATTTTTCAATGAATTTTTAATATCTACTTTGTACACATATTTCACATGAAATGAATTATTAAGTATTGAAATGCTTGCATACAGTAAGTTTGAATGCTGGTTGTTATATACGGTATTGTGTCTGCTTTACATAAAATTAATGCTAGAATCAAATGAAAAATTCAATAAATATTATTATATAAACTTGTACAAGTGAATTGGTGCAGTACAACAATGAGATTAAGTGCATTATCCTACACTTAGTGTACTAAATGTATAATAACATTAAAAAATAAATTTGATATTTATTGGCAAAATGAATAACCGGAGGATATCGTGATTATATACTCCGGGCGGAGGATATCGTGACGATATACTCCGGAAAACCCAATATGCGGAGGATATTGTGATGATATACTTTGAAACTTAAGCAATTTTGCACTAACTAGAGGAAAACTCATTGGTAGAATACTGAACTTTCTTGATCTTTAAGGCTTAAAAAATAGGACTCATGGTCCTGTGCTCACACAGTTTGGAACAAAGAAGTTGATTGCGGGGGGGGGGGGGGCGTAAAGTTATGATTTCATTCACAAAGAGTGTACTTGTACTTAATAGTAATAATTATATCAACTAAAAAGTAACCAATAAAAAAATCCATTACACTGTCATGTTCATATCTATCTGCAGGGGGAATCAAAGAAGAAGGTATTTCCATTAAAAAGTCATTTGCTTTAATATGTATGTATTATTAAAGCTTAAAGAGATTCTGCATTTTTGTTGTTTATGATATGAGTTGTTTATTTGTGTGTTCACTTTGATTTCTTGCTTTTAGATTTTAGACAGTCCATTTAAAGGACCTACATCACTGTATTTTGAAAAAAGTTTTTGTGGGATTGTAATATATTTGCTTAATATAGTTGTTAGGTCACTGTGTAGCATATGAGAATTAAAGACAATTATATGAGTCAATAATAGTATTTAACAAGTTTCTCATTATATCTTGAAATTGTCTTATATATTGGCTGTCATGCTTTGAAAGACAAAAAAGAATAAACAAGGTTTGTTGTCACGCTCTTTTTGTTTATTTTCAGAATAGAAAACAATGTACTTGACATCAGTTTAGAGCTAGTTCGTGTCAAATGAACAATGTTTACCTAAAATGTTTTTAATTCCATTGATTTGATAATCTAAATCTACAAGTTTGGAAAAAAGTTCAATTTCAATTCCATACTTTGCAAGTCCTCTTCCTGAAGAGTTATCATCCTTGGTCCAAAGGTCTTTCAATTTTTTCCAAAGCTGCGATAGAAACAAAGCCGGATCTTGATTCTTGAAGGATGGGTTCTCATTGGTAAAATATATGAATGGAGTAAAACATGCCAGAGGCTTCAGTGCCTTCATTGATGTATTATCAGTCTATCATTCATTTGAAACAAATCATGATTAAAATATTCACTGATGCATTTAAAGATGGCAGCACTTGTATTAGTCACTTCTTTGTCGTAGAGTGTTCAAAGTAACACTAGTCAATATTGATGTCGGTTGTTGGTTTTGTAACAGTACAGTATTTTTTATAAACATTTTTGAACCTGTGACACAGAAATAAGATATTTTAGACTGAAACTAAAAAAAAACTCTGAAGCAGTCACATCTAAATTATCCCTACTCCATTGTTTGCTTACTACTGATTACATGTAAACTAAAGCAGGATGTTCTAACCTATTGAAATATCTTGTAGGCTTAACAGTACGTAGCGTAAGCTGGAGGGGGGAGAGGGTCCTTGTAGGCACCCAGGACAGCGAGATATTTGAGATAAGTGTCCAACAGAGGGAAAAGCCTCGCTGTCTGATGCAAGGCCACGCTGAGGGAGAATTATGGGCCTTAGCCGTTCATCCTAAACGTCCAATATTTGCCACTGCTAGTGATGATTGTACTGTCCGGTAGGTTATTTGATATATTAAGTTAATCTTAGATTATCATTTTCATTTTTTTTCATTGTTCATGTATGGTTGTCTCCTTCGAGCTGAATCAAAATTCATTTTCTGTATTTTTTGATTTTAGAACAAAAACAGTACCCCATTGATTGATATTTACATGTTTGCTGTGTTCACTAAACTTTTATGAATGAAATCCATTTACGTTTACTATATATACTAACATTGATGTGTTCTTATAGGATCTGGAGCAATTTAGACCAGGAAATTCTGTCCAAGACTACACTAGATGAACCAATACGCTCATGTGCCTTCAATGCTGATGGATCACATCTAGCTTGTGGAATGGCAGATGGTAGCTTCAAAGTGCTCAAGTCTAAGTAAGTCACATTGTTTTGTATAGATGTCTCTTCTTATCTGAAATATTTCCCGATAATGCATCAGTGTTGGCAGACAATATTTTGGAACCACTTGCTGCCCTCTTCAAATTTCTAATAAATCCCATAATGCATTAGTTTATTTCCCATAATGCATCAGTATTGGCAGACAATTTTTTGAACCACTTGTTGCCCTTTTCCAATATCTAATAAATCCCATAATGCATGGGTTTTGGCGGAAAACATTTTCAGACCTCAGTATATCCAAAAGGATATAGAGAATGATAAAAAGACATGTGGCTTTTAGAATACTATAAATGTGCATATGAAAATTAGTTGATAACTTTGGCTTTATTGTAATATCATCTTACTTCACAAATATCATGAAGTTTCAGTGAACATTTAAATTTTTAAAATCTTATACCAGTTTTGCTTTTGACTCTGATGTTTTTCAACTTCTATGTTCACAGGGATCTGTCCGAACTCACACATATCAAAGATCGTAAAGAAGTACTCCACGAGATGAAATATTCTCCCGATGGGAACTACCTCGCTGTCGGCTCAAATGACAATTACGTCGACATCTACTCTGTCCAGCAACATTATAAAAAGGTCGGCCAGTGTTCAGGAAATTCCAGCTTCATCACACATTTTGATTGGTCAGAAGATTGTAAATATTTACAGACCAATAGCGGAGCTGCTGAGAGATTGTTCTTCAGAATGCCAAGTAAGAAAGAATGGGTATCGATATGGAGAACTTTTTGCACACAAGTTTCTCTTAAACCAGTCATCATAAAAAACAAAAAATGTCAACAAAAACAGTAAAATATTTCTAAATAATTTTTGCATTAAATTGTTGTCAATCAGTCAACATTACATAGAATACCATGTTTTTTACAGAATGCTTTCAATGATTGGTTTAAGAGAAAAACATTGTTGAATTCAGTTCTCCATATCGATACCTATCCTTTTTGTGTTCAATTTTTTATGTCACCACAAGAAGTGTTGACATATTGTTATATTGTCCAACTTTATTGTGGATCAGGTGTTTGTAGGTCAGTGTCTGTAGCAAATGGCAGGTGGTGACATTTTGCATGTTAATGCCCTGTGTAGTATTATTTTTCACTTGAATTTATTAGAAATGAATTCTTCACTAATGACATCATCATAAATTTCTTCGATAAATCTTCCCAAAAATCAAATTAACTCTGTTATTCTGAAACTATTGGAATTTGAACATCGTCCCTTATTTGTTTGTAATTTGCAAATGCAAAAATTCTTGACGAGGGATGATTTATGTCAAGATATATGAGTACATGGAGAGATTTGAGGATATATATTAACTGTAATATCAATCAAAGTAACATATTCATTTTTAGATTTCTCACTATTTTATTCCAAATGAGATAAATCATTTCCTTTCAAAACTAATAGTATACAATCTTATTTGTTTTGTACATTTCAGTTTTATACTTTATGTTTTCATCAAGAAATCCAATCAAAATACCTAAAAATGGAAACTGATTTTGTGCATCATCGACGTCTTCAATAATGTCAATCAATGTAATGTAGAATTCTTGCTCTTGTATATCTATAACATTGCTGAACTCTACGACTGATGTACCATTGATAGGATACGCTAAAATGGAGAAAGTTTCATTCAGATATGTCATTTGAGTTTCTTTATGGTTCTCTAATCCTTGAATGATAACCTGAGTTGTCACATTATAGTGTCCACGCAATGCAAATGCGAGACGAATTTTGTTCTCGCCATTTGGTTTATAAACCTTAGGTTGTATGTGACACTTGAAGACAATTCGATGGGTTTCGAGTTTATCCAAGCGTATTGTATAAACTGTATGTATATCCGGTTGTGTTGTTACATTATTGGGGTAAATCAGACATATTCTGATTGAATCTAGGTTCGAGTTACATCTTGTGTTTTGCCAGGTTGTGTAAAAACATGATGGATCTCGTTTCCAAATATTCTTGCTAAAAGGCTGAGGTAGCAATGAATATGATGATGGTATATGTATCTGAGATATATCCTGCTTTCCTTGAGGTGTGGTCCTGTTAACTTGGTGTTTATTAACAACATGTTGTTCATATGCAGCTAATATACCATAAGCAATAAGAAAGCCTAACTGTCTGTGTCCTTTAGCAGAGGGATGGATTCCATCACTACCATTTCTATTGGCCAAATCAGCGATTCGAAATCTGGTTCTATTTGCATGTGCACTGGCACAAACAGCCTCTTTCCACGAAATAGACATTACACCATATGCTTTTGCTATTGGTAAATAATGGGTATCTTCCGTTGTGAGGCAGCTAGGATTTGTAGGGTCATATAAAAGAGATGGTCTAATGAGATTCGATAGGATCAAAACAGGTTGATGTTCGAGAGGTAAAGACTTCACGTGGCGAATTAAACTTTCAATTCCATGATACGGATCATTGTTCAACCAAGGCCATCTCCTGAATTTATTCATACGAAATCCATCATCGTTAATTGCGAATTCTACAAGAACTAAATCAGTGTCATCGCTGATGAAATTCCTCCAACAGTATGATGTATAAATACTGGTAGTGCCCCCTATTGCGCAATTATTGATGGACACATGTGTCCCAAGTAATTTTTTCAAAAACCAGGATACAATCTCAAAATATTTCTTAGATTGTCTCACCTAGAAAAAAGATTAAGGTTTAGTTATTTTACATCTTTATTGTTTGATTCTGTAATGTGTGGCGCCCACTTTATTTTTGTGAGCTTGACGATGTGAAAATTTTACAATGTACATATTTGTAAAAATCATCAAACAAACCTTGTATCTTTAGAGCACACCTGAAATCAATTTTATTTGATAATGGATGTATTTTGACATGCCATATCACCAGTAATTTGTCAAGTGGTTCATTATACTGATGATGGTAGTGGATGCTTAATAAGCAATTTTTAAATTTTTTGTGATTTATTTTTGCCACCAATTGACTTTTCACTGGTCCCACGTGATCTGGTTTATTCCACTTAGCCATGGCCTCATAGATCAAAGATGCTTTGTTATTTGTTTAAACAACAATTTTGTGGTTGCTATGACGTCATTGATTACAAAGAAACCAGTTAAACAAAACTAAATTATATATGACGTTACTAATCACCTGGGGGCCAATCTGATTGATCCCTTAACTTTACAATTTTATCCAGTGATCTCCCCAGCATTAAAGCAAGTGGGCGCAGCAACCACCTGAGATTTTAAAAAACAGGCATGCACCCACCTGAGAATTCATTCACACCCAATTGAAAATGAGAAAAATCTTGAAAAATGGGCATATTTCAACCAATTTTTGGTCTGAATTTTGGAAATGAAAATTTTGCACCTACTTGAGAAAAATCCTGTGGAGAACACTGTTATCATTATGACCATTAACAATTATCTCACATTTCTTTTATAATGGTTATTGCGAGAACTTTATGTTGGCTTACAATGGAGAAATCCTCATTTTTTAATAGCTGAAAGTAAGAGAAAATCAATTTCAGTTGTCCTTTAATAGGAATGATTATAATTTGTAAATCATTTCAAAATTAAAAGTTAATCATTATCTTTAAGTGCTACAGATTGTTTGCTCAAGTAAATTATTATTTAAAAAAAGTATCTTGGCTTGCTTATCGACTATATGATTTGCAATGTTTACTTAAAAAGGCTTAAAAGTTCATTTAAGATTATTCAAATGGGTTTGTTGTATACATGTACTTGATTGAACATGCAATAAAAGTTTTTGAACATTACTGTTTATCCTAATGAACATGATATTCACATACTGTACTAATAAGTTAATGGCATATGATTTTTATCAAGAACAATTTAACAAAAAACATACAGATATTCTTAAATGGAAAATGCTTTGTCCTTGTGGTAATATACTTAACATAAATTACATGGTATTATCTCGTATATTAGACTGCGGACTATTCTGTAGAAGTGCTCTAGAAATGGATCTCGCTTTTCATGGAAGGTCACACATTCCAACATATTTCAAACAATTTGTATGATTATAATAGACACTTTCTGGGTAGTTGGACTTTATGTAGGGGTGGCAGAAGGCCCTCAGACCAATTTATACCCCTACCCCAACAAAACCTTGGGGGTACTTTAATACCACCCAATAAAAATAATACTAATGCATATCAGATATTCATCGTTTTATAGTGGGTAGGGCATGCCATGGTTAGTCAGTGCCAGAAATTTCCAAACTCTGACTTATATGGTTACCATGGAAACAGTATTTATATCTCACAATCTTCTCAATTTGACCCCTTCCCAAATGTGTCCTTAAGTTCTCAAAGTGAAATATTTGCAAATCTGTTTGGATTTTGTGGCTGCAACTTTGTCAAAAGTTGAATTAATATGTATGTATTCACACTGAAGCACTAAAAACTTAATATAATGATCTCATAAATTAATAATATTTATCAAATGTAGTCACACACAACTGCTTTTAGAGAAAAGTGGGCGTGGCACTTTTTGGTACTTGTGTAATTGTTGCAGCATTAAATGAAAAATACTTATTACACTAACAACAATTGACATTTAATTAGCATCTACTAAAATTGTGTAACATTGTAGTATGTTCATTATCATTATTAGATACTTTAAATATTTTATATAAGTGTTATCATGACCCTTCCCTATCATAGGTCATTAACTTTTAAGTCCTAGAGGTCCTTAGTCTTTTTAGCTTGTCAAAGTCGTATTCATTGACTTGAAGCTAGAATATAAATAGTTTCATTGATCAAGAGCTATGAGTTAAAATTGATTAATACATTTGTCAGGGTTAGAGCCATTTTATGCAATTGAAAAGTAATGGACCGACACTGATCAGTACCAGGTGAAGGTAACGGCCGTAACCTTCGCATCTAAGATGGCGGACAGTAATTGTCGATTTTGATATTTTTGATTTTCATTGAATTAAACTACTTTAGAGTTGATGTTATGCTTTGACATTTGCACCAAATCAGGCTTAAATGACATTGGAACCATAGATGTAGTAAACATGAATAAACGATATGTGAAATGTTATGCCCTGCCTTAATACATAACTAAGATTTTCTCGGATAAATGGTGTCTTACAATTGACTAACTGATTCTATTATCAACATCAGGTAATGCATGATCCATCCAATGGATTAACGAAAATACTTGATTCCAATATGGCAAAATAAATTATTCCATGTATGAATTGCATAGTGCATCATTTTGCAGATATTACATAATGCATTCATTGACTCATGGTCAACAAGGTACGGGTAAAACTCCTTTTAGTATTTCACAAAATAATGAAATATAAACAATTTACACATTTCTGAAATGCTGTACCTTTAGTGATTCCTTGACCTGGAAAGTGGTTTGTTATGTTAAAACTTAAAATAATATCTAAACAAATCTGTTTAGTGTATAAAAACAATAAAAGTTAATATGTTTAATATCAAATATTATTAGACATATGAATATAACCTAAAATAAGAAATCTTGTTCTCGTATTCCATTTTAAAATTGGTTGAATGATTTTGGCACAGTAGAAATGATGGTCATGATTAAATATTATATGTAATATGCCCTGATGCTGTAACATCAATGGTCCTTTATAATCAGGTATGACTGAAATACTGGACAAGATCTTATAAGGTTACAGTTTCCATATAACGTATGTTCCATATTACTACCCCAAATCTCCATTGTGTAAGTTTATGAGTCATTATCCCTCATAGTTTATTATGGCAAATGCCTATCCTTGTCTAGAATATGTCATTTTATCAATTTTATAAACAAGTATACAATTACACGCCCCCCCCCCCTCCCACACCAAAACTCCATTTTCTTTATCAAATCTTTCTACCTCTATCTGTTATGATTCTCTGTCAGGCTTCCCCAATTTTCCATACTGTCAAGTAAACATCTAAATAGGATAGTTCTAGCTATTGCTGTTGTTTTGAAATGTTGACTTTTCTTGGGGAAATATTGTTTCAATTCTGACAGAAGTTTTTAGCCAATATCATTCAATTTATCAATATCCAAACGCAGGGTTTCAGAAAGTATGCATTTTGTTTGTGCCTGTATTTTCATCATGTGTACTTATTAAGACAGCTATATTTAAACGTAAATACATTAAAACATGATACATATAATCTTTTGACAATTTCTTCAGTAAAGTGGCCATTTTGAGAAATGATATATAGCTTGTACCTTTGTTTGATGCTCAACAAGATGTTCGACTGGATTTGCCTTTGTCTAATTCATATATATACCAAATACGAGAATCAGAATCTTATTCTACAAAACGGGTGTTCATGGAAGTAGCACTAATTATTGCATCATTGCTATAAATCGTGTGATTTGATTGGCTAATTCAGAACCATGTGACTAAAAATACCAGCATATTTCACAGCTCACTGACTTATTTCCATATTTAAAAGACGTATTGTCCAGCGTATTGCCCGCCTGGGGATTCTGACAACTGCACTTTCAATGATTTTTGCAACATGTATTACCAACGCCCTACGGGCTGCGGGCAATACATATTGCAAAAATCATTGAAAGATGAACAGGTATTGCCCGCCATAGAATGAAATATTTGCTTAACATTTCTTACTGTTTCGAGCTTAATATCAATTTTGTTATAAACTGAACAAAGCGGCACCTTTAACATGGAGCTAATTCTCCCATCTAACCAAGAGAGCCTCTTTTAATATATCGAAATTTAAAAATTGCCTCTGATTCAATTTGTTCAATCAAATCTAAAATGGTAATACCTTTTTACTGCTTCGAACTTCCTTATATTTTATACCATTGGGGTAGGATGTTTGTCGCTTTCACCAGAAACATGGATATCACTAATTTTGATTCATATTTAAAATGGTGTGCATGAATAGACTTGTGTATTTTATACCAAATAGAGACACTTCCCTGGAGAGTTCTAAATCTCTATATGTTAACAGCCTAGTTCCCACATCCCTTGTTGACTTTGCTTCCATATTTCCTGTGAAGCCGTGGAACAGTTCTCTTGTTCTTCACAATTTTCCATTTTAATGTAACTCAATGAATAAGGCCAATTCATATCACTGGCTTCCCTAGGTCATTTGAATTCCTTGCAATTTTTAAATCAGCAATAAAGAATAATGGGTTAAATTATCAAATAATGAAAAAGTTGCAAATTATGAGATTTGTTATATAGCTTCGAAATCTTGCTGAAGTGTAGTTTAACTAGACAATGGCAACTCCGCGGAGTAGCAAATCCCAACGAACAAAATATCAATTACCGAATTCCAATCAATTATACTCATTACTTTGGTTAAAATTGAAAAATTTAGATTTTAGAATTGCGAATTCCTGCAAAGCAGCCATTTTGAATTTTCTGAGGTACAAATCTGAAGAATAATACCATAATTGTGATCTACTCCAAAATTCCTTCAATTTGAGTATAATATAGCCATACTTTGAAGGGATCGAAAAATTATTGCGAAATCGTACATTAGACGGCCATTTTGAATTTTACGAGGCTCGAATCAGAAAAAAGATACAATATTTGCAATCTACTCTTAATTGCCTTTCATTTGAGTATAATAAAGCTATACTTAAGAAAGATCTAAAAATAAGCGAAAATTACTGTTTTCCTGACCCCCCATACACGGCCCCTGGGGGTCAGGATGAAAAACACGGAATATATGTGAAATAGATAGGTGTTGCGAATATACTACCAAAATTTCAAACAATAATATTAATTACTTTGGTTTAGAATGAAAAATTTATGGTTTTTGCGAAAAAGTCCCGTCAAGCGGCGGCCATCTTGAAAAATTTTTTTTTTGCGTACAACTATTCACCAATATACATCTTTCCACTAAATATGAAGAAAATCCGTCAACCCGTATTTGAGTTATCTTCTGGACGGACGGACTGACTGACGGACTGACGGACGGAGGGCTTCACTATATCCCTACCGAACTTCGTTCGTTGGGATAACTATAGGTTAACAGGCTAAATTCTCATTGATATTTATTTTAAAGAATCTTAAACATTGACTTATTGTTTCAGTGGTCCTATTAAAGTTCATGTGTACACAATCTGAACAACATCCAGTTTCAAACACTTCTGATTATCATCAAGTTTCAAACACAATCTGAACATCATCAAATTCAATGCAAATGCAGTTTTACTTTAATCCAACAGAACGAATATGGTAAATCAATAGACTAAGTGACACATGTCAAGTCAATGGTAAATACTTATCTAGCCCAACTAGCACAAATGCTGCCATTTACCTACTAGTATCAATCCATCTATCTATATACATAGCACCTAATGAGGTCACGACTTCAAGTAAAGCTTTTTCCCTTGTCTATGGTAAAAAATAAGTTAAACAGAAAAGTTAGTTTGACACCATTGGTGATGCCCACCTTGTATGGTATAGGGATAAAAGGAAAGTTCATGATAACACTTACATAAAATAATTTAAGTATCTAATAATGATAATGAACATGTCTTGGTTCTTGGAATTACACCTGAAATATCAGCCATTTTGGTGAAAATTCCCCTTTTTCATGAATTGCATTCATTTTCAAATGACTTTATTTCATACATTACTTCTTGCCATCCCAATTGGTAATAGGTTAATATGAAATGTATAACCTTATACATTCATTGGATAAACCAATCATGCATAATAATTCAGAATTATAGATATACACAATGATTCAAAAAGGAGCAAAAACATGACTGCTCTAATACCTAGGTAGTTAATACGTGTAAAGGTTAAAAGCTAAGATATGATGATTTTTGCAAGTTTTTGATAATTTATAACCCAGTATTGTGCATCTTTGATTCCTACTTGCCCTCATTAAGTCATTATACCCATACCAATACCAGTTGAGAACAATTAATGATACGAGCACATGAATTGATGTTTTCGGGTGAATTACGTGATGAATGAATTCATATTCTATTTAACCAAAGCCAAATATTTTGCTTAAAATTTGTTCTGATTTGGCAGAAAACAATTTATCCTGGGCCAAGTTATAATTATATGTGGATTTTTAAGAGTTATACTCATAGAGCAGATCGAGAAAGGGGAGTGTGTAGGAAGGAGCAGAGGTCAAATGCACTACAATAAATGCAATTCAGATTTGGGGATTGAATGGTAGGGTCTACGGAAGGGACAGTTAAATTGAAATGTCAGAGGGTGCATGTAGTAGGGTAGGTGGACTGATCAAATGAAGCAGGTGGACTGAAATGAAGCAAAGTAAAAGATCAATTACTTGGATGGGAAAGGGGGAAGAAGTAGAGGATGAGGTGAGCTAGAAAATAACATGGAGGAGAATGAAAGTGGGAGCATGGGGCTTGCCTATATAAAGAGATGGAGGAAAATAGGTAAATGGCATTTGGGTGAGGGTTTCCGTCTTTGGAAGGCAATGGGATATACATGTAGTTGACATTGCTGTTGTGACTTGACATGGCCTCAACTATATTAACTAAACCAACAAGCCTCTCTTGTGTCAGCATGATCACACTTGCCTGGTTCAATGTTTCTCATTATATCTTACTTAGAACCATTCTTAGCAATGTTTGATAAATGCTACAACAGTATCATCTTCTGCATCCCGATGATTCTACAGATTCATCCATGACTTAACCTTCAAGTGTTTCTAAAAATGAGGCTTCTTAATGAGTCAAGCACCATTCAACTGTTCCGAAAAAGTGTCATTATCAGAGTAATGCCAAAAACTCTCCTTAAGCCTGGTATGAAAGTTCATCTGATTAATGATCTAATGTATGAAGAAACAATTATGTCTTATACCCCTCCCCACCATTGATTCAGGTACCATTTTCATAACCCAAGACCAGTGCTTTGAGTTCTATGATGTGCATGTTGATTAGATGCAGCTACCATCTCAAGAATAGCAGCATTCTGCAATTTACTTTATGAAATTCAAATATTATTCCAACTGATGGAAAATACTTTCAAGAATATCACAGTGTTTGTTAATTAACAACTCAAATGATGCTAGGAGGGACAATTTAAAATTTTAAAATTGTTATATTACCACAGATGACTATCCTTTTAGACTTATAACTTTACAACAAGGATCTTATAAATCTATGTTTTATTTAAAGCTGGACCTGTCGTGTACATATGTGTCATTATCAGAGTAATGACTAATAGGATTACATAGAATGTAATCCTATTTCCTTTACTTTATTGCTATATTTACTGTTATTGAAAATTGTATATCGGATGTACGTTTGGCCCTAAAAGGGCATCAGTACTAATAAAATCCTACAATTATGTAGTATTATAATGGCAAATTACACTGTATTTCGACAATTTTAAAGTCAGAAAGAGCAGGGAAAATCATTTAACTTGACTTCTTTACTGAAGTTACATGGTAATAAGCTGTATTTAAACTGCATACAGTTAGAGAACCTTAAATTAAGTATGAAATAAAGTCATTTGAAAATGAACGCAATTCATGAAAAGGGGGAATTTTCACCAAAATGGCTGATATTTCAGGTGTAATTCCAAAAACCAAGACATCATCCTAGCAATCTGAAATTTTGCATCAAAGTTAGTGAGGGTAAAAGGAATGGGAACCCAAATGTGCTTAGCTCTCAGGTAAAAAAGTGAAATTTCCGAACACCCTAATGTTACACAATGTTAGTAAATGATAATTAAATGTCAATTATTGTTAGTGTAATATGTATTTTTTGCTTAATGCTGCAACAATTACACAAGTTCCAAAAAGTGCCACGCCCACTTTTCCCTAAAAGTAGTTGTGTGTGACTATATTTGATAGATATTATTGATTTATTGGAGCATTATATCAACTTTTTAGTGCTTTAGTATGAATATATACATATTTATACAACTTTTGACAAAGTTGCAGCCACAAAATCCAAACAAATTTGCAAATATTTCACTTTGAGGGCTAAGGGACATATTTTGGAGGAGGTCAAATTGAGAAGATTTTGAGATATAAATACTGTTTCCATGGTAACCATATAAGTTAGAGATTGGACATTTCTGGCACTGACTAACCATGGTATGCTCTGCCTACTATAAAACTATGAATATATGACATGCATTAGTATTCTTTTTATCAGGTGGTATTAAAGTACCCCCAAGGTTTTCTTAGCGTGGGGGTATGAATTGGCCTGAGGGCCGTCTGCCACCCCTACATGAAGTCCAACTACCCAGAAAGTGCCTAGCATAATCATACAGATTGTTTGAAATATGTTGGAATGTGTGACCTTCCATGAAAAATGGAAGTTGCAATTATCAGAGAAGTCCACAGTCTATATATGTGTGGTCTTTATAATTTAGTACTATAGTATACTCACTGAGCTCACATCAGTTGCAATTGGCTTTCCTCGCAGTTTGCTTGGTATACATGAAGCAGATCCCCCCACTACTGTTATGGAAATATTCCCATTCGATTTTTGCCAAATGCGATCAAAAACCTCCAATTCACCAGTGTTTTTCAGTGAATTTTTCATCATCTGAAATGTGATATCGTCTAACTTCGCTTCATGTAGAAGCAAGGTCCGCGTATAATTTATAATTCTGTCCATTTTTGATGCAACTTTTGATAGTTTTTCTTCTTTAAATATATCTTCTTTTAAGAATACTTTTGATAACTCTTTTAATATTTTTCCTCCATCAAATGCTGGTTTTAAATATTTGTCTCTTATTTCACTTTCTCCTTTTATTGTTTCTCTGTATATTTTGTCACTTATTGTGTCATCTCCCTCAACATGGTTGTCATTTTTAGATATTTTTGCATGTATTTTATGAACAATCCCTGTTTTGTCTCTTATGTTCTGAGAATAAATGATATATAAAGAAAACAGAATAAGTAAAATTGTACAAAGTATTATTTTTATCTGTCGACTCATATTTTTTCATCTGTATGAATTTAACCTTTGGTACTATTTATACCCTTGCAGAAATTTTACTATCTTTGTACTTTTGAGATTTGATTCAATGATAAGCATATAAACTTTAACTACAGTTATTTTATACTCCTAGTCCAAGCCGAGTGTCTATATATTGTAAGTCCTTATTTGGTTTATTCTTGCTTTCTTGTGTGTACATTTTGCAGTAAACTAAACAGAGGGTTTGCCAAAAGTATTGACAGAAGTACTTACTTAATACCTTTGTTTCAGTCCGAACCCTGTGACCCCCCCCTGGGTAAGGGCCTGCTGTTGACTTTACAGATACATTATTTTGCTTTTGTGGTCAGAAAATATTTACAGCCAGAAGTATTTCCCTCTGAAATTGATTGAACCATTGTATCATATGTGCCTCTTTTTCAAAATTTCAGCTGGAAAGCAGTGTACGAATAAGGAAGAAATAAGGTCAATACACTGGCATAGCTGGACGTGTGTCTTGGGTAGTGAAGTGAATGGCATCTGGGAGAAGTACACAGATACTAATGACGTAAATGCTGTCGATGCTTACTTCGGGGGAGAGGTTGTTGTCACGGGGGATGATTTTGGACTTGTGAAATTATTCCGTTTTCCCAGTCTCAAAAAAGGTGAGTTTATATACAGGGCCCAGGGCAGATAATGACCACTATGACAAATCAATAATGAGTTACTTTGTTTTCAATAGGTGGGGATAAAAGTAATAACCTCATTGTGTGAATTATTGGCCCAAAGACTGAAGGCTTTATTGATATATTAGATCAATGTTTGGAGATATGATCAGTGTTACACTTGTCTGTCACTCTATGTGTGACACATGTGCAGGTCTCTCACAGCAAGTAATAATTCAGATGCCCTTAGGCAGTTACCAGTTTCACCACCAGTTGGCTAATTTGGGTCAGATAACATGGCAGATATATAAGAAAGTTCCCTTAAACTTGACTATTCATCAGTTCTAGTTGATCAATTTCCATATTACAAATTAAAATTGTCCATTAAAACAAAAAAATATTATCTGTCCAATAAAATATTATAGTCTCTTTTTGTGATTTTATAACATGGGGTCTATATGGGGAATCTCCCCGACCAAGAAGTCACATTAAAACAAGGAAATAAAATTTTCAAAGTTGATAAACACTTTTTAAAACCAAGTTTGAAGATGTAATTTCTCATGTAGAATTCAAATATCAGATATCACTTAGACAGAACTTTGAATATTCTGTAAATCAAGATAATTTATACTCGTATCTATTGTATCTATTGTATTGTATCTATTGTATTGTATCTATTGTATCTATTGTTTGTTACAATAATCTTTCCTTATTGTTAGATACACTTTTTTAGGTGCAAAATTCAGGAAATATGTTGGCCACTCTGCCCATGTGACAAACGTGCGGTTTAGCCATGACAAACAGAAGGTGATCACAACGGGGGGTGGGGACCATGCTGTGTTCCAGTGGCGGTTTATACCTGAAGGGATGACTATAGAGGATGACGATACACATGATCAAGGAGGTATGATTTGTATGAAACAATGATGAAAAAAAGAAATGGTATTTGTTCAAGTTTTAAACCCTTTAAAATACTATGTTTGTTATTGTCAGAGCAAATGTGTTTGTAAATCCAAGAGAATATTTTTTTTTCATCGATGTATTTAAGAGCTCAGATTAAGGAGAAAGTTTTCGCAACATCATCGAATGGTGACATATTGTTATGGCCTTCATTTTGATACTGGTGTTTAGTAGTGGTGCAACTTGCCAGTAAAAATGCCACTCAAGTAGAATGCGCAATGTCTATTTTGGACATGTTTGAGTGAGTGGCGAGTACTGACATTTAAGTTGCACCACTAGTGTTTAACTTTGGCTTCAAATGTCCATATAAAAGTGTTACACTTTTGTGACCAATTGCAATACCATCACTCTACTATACCTTGCATTTGGTGTTCATGAGCAACCCATTTGGCTTATCAGTAATGATTATGTTATTTGTTTTTATGTGTCTGTTCCTTATTAATGGTTTATCTGATGACTGTTAGATGTTATAAGGTACTTTCAAAAATATACTAAACAATTCAATTAGACAAACAAAATATCTTATGCATTCTAGGGGTTAGGTATAGTAGAGTGACCATTGTGTCATGTTTATACCTTGTATATTATCCTTCATTTCAGAACAAAAAGGAAAGTTAGATAAATTCAAGATAATCTTAAAATGACAATGTGTTTTTATTTATTTAATAATTTCAGCGTATGTTGACTCAAACAGCGAAGACTCCGACTCTGATTTGTCCGATGTTGGTGAACTCGACTCTGATATTGAAAATGAAAAACAAAAGACATATGACAGGGAGGTCTACAGAGAGGACATGGCTGTGCTGAAGAAGAACATAAAGAACCAGATGAAACCAGGAGAAAAAAGAGGAAAAGCACCAACCCAGGGGCTGAAGCTCGAGTTTATCCATGGGTGAGTTGTTCTTAACTTTTTCTTTTTTTATATTGATTTTTATAAGAAGTTGTGACATATTGTTATAGTCTTCAACTTCTTTGTGGATGGTGTTCAGCATCTGGAACAGCAGTCAGTGTCTGAAACAAATAGCAGGTGGTGACATTTTGCATGTGCATTGATTTTAATTGGTGAGTTGACACATTGTAAAATGTGGTTGTGCTTTTAAATGTTTTAAAATAGACATTGGATGTAGCAGGGTTCATAAGAATTTCTCACAACATTATTTTGAACGATTTTATAGATTGTAAAAACATTTATTTCATAAACTACAATAACATACTTTCAGGCCATTTTATTATTATTTTGGGTTGGGAAATTGTCGTCTTTGGCAATTCTTAAAGCTCTGGTTAGTGATAACTGCATGCTCCCTTAGCGGGAATAATTTTTTCTCCGACACGTGCAATGAGTGCCCCATAAGTCGCATTTGCATGTATAATTATTGCAACATATGCTTTCAATTGAATTGAAATTTGCAAGAGTACTACATTGTTCAGCGAATTGTCCACACCGAGAAAGAGCATCAACTCCTGGTATTCTGGAAAAGCCAAATATACTGTGTACAGGATGATCAATAAATAAGGTAAAAGTATCTGGCATTTTGTAAATATTGGTCCAAACTTCCTGTTTGGTCAGAATTTACCTTGTACATTTTTACATTAAAACATGTAAATACATTATTTATGCCATCTGATTGGTTAGTATTATAGTTTATCTATGGCAACTGGAGTCAGGGCTACCAAGGGCAATTCTATTCCGTCCAATTTGTTAAAAACAATACTTTTACCTTATTTATTGATCACCCTATATAGACTTTTTAATTTATTGAAATAGGAAGTGATTTTGATATTTTGGGAAATGGTGAAAAAAATAATTTTTATGTAACCACCAAAAGTAGTGACATATTGTTATGGCCTCCTGCGTTCAGCATCTGTACATTTTGCATGTTAATGCCTTGTCTTGACTTGGAAAAGAAAGGGAAGTTTAAAATTGGAAATGTATGGTTCGTTAAATATAAAATTGTTTGAGAGAGCAAAGAGACCATCTGAAATAATCAGACTGTCAACAAATCATTAAATTAAAATATAAAATGTAAAAAGCATAATTTAAAAGTATTTAGTGCAACATTAACGTTTAAGGGTTATTAGTATATTGGTATCACAAATTCAAGAATGGCATCTCACCTTTTTGATAGTCTAGATCTAATTTGTTTAAATGCTTGAAGTTCACCAACACCTTTTTCCAAAGATTCTAGTTTGCTGGTATCATCTGAAATCAAACAAAGCTATATAAATATATAAATTTCAACAAAGTTATAAGGATGTATACAATGAAACCTGTATATCTGAACATCTCTCTAATCTGAACACCTCACAATTACTTAGACTCACATGTAAAGGAAACCTTGAAATGTGAACACTTGCTCGTCTAAGCACTTTTGGAAAGTTCTAGTGGCATTGGAATAAGACAGGTTTTACTGTATATTCATGTTGTAATATATAGTTAGATACCCTGGTCAAGAGCTTGTAATAATGTATTACTGCCCTCTTAAACGATATACAATTAATGCTTATCAAATCTAAAATAACTATAAATTATATTGTACATTTTTATGTCAACACCACAAGTCTTTTGGATGGTGTTTGGCAGTTGGTGTTCAGCAGGTAGCATCTGTAACAAATGGCAGGTGGTGACATTTTTCATGTTAATGCCTCGTATATTTATACAAGAATCATATCTCTACAAGACAAGTCATTAAGCACATATTAAAATTGTATCTTGATAAAAAACTTCAATATAAATAAGCTTCATGCGTGGGAAACAATAAGTGAGCAGCACAATTATAATTATGAACATCAATTTATTATGAACATCAATTTATTATGAACATCAATTTATTATGAACCTGAATTTTATAATTGATATGATTATAATAATTATTGGTGTTTTCATGGTAACCTTTAGTATAATGTTAAACTTTATCAATTTACCATTTTATGTTACACCAAGGGAATTAACATTGGATATTCTTTCCAATTATATGACAATTAACTCCAATTTTATATAATATCGTAGAATTTAAAGATACATCTGTTATCAAGATAAATTTATTAACGCAGTTACTGTAATATGCAAATTGTTCCACAACAGTTTTTTGTTTCTTAATTTTTTTTGATTATCAAAGTTATTGTTGATCAATTATTAAAATGAGTCAGCTTTGATCATATAAAACACAATAATTTCCATATAATTATCGGTGTTTTTTTTTTAAACATTGTAAATTAGCTCAACTTCTATTACAATAATCAAAATAACTTATTTTGATGAAGATCCGTATTGATGTATAATTTTGTTTTTTTATGGTTATTTTATTTCCATAATCATAAGTCATGAACAATATTTCATACAAGTAACATGGAAAAACAAGCCTAAGTTTACACATTATTGGCTTGTATAATTTCATTTCATGATATTACAAACTATTGCGACATCCTAGAAACAACCAACATTTTCAGAAATGCCTCGGTTAGGCCAAAACCTCCTGTTTAAGAACCCCTGCTCCAACCAATTAATATTGAAAATAGATATACCAAGTAACATGTACAGTTGGTTTTCAAAGATTTTGGTTACATCTAACGAACAATGCATTTTGGAACGTACAAACAATCTAATCTGCTTTCATATGATTTCTACAGTTTGAATGCAGGCTATTAGTCTAATGTTCCTTCCCTTTGAGGATCTTTGATATACGTACGATATATGCTTTTTATCGACTTGCGTGTTATAACAATTACATTCATGTAATAATATCAGTTGAGTAAATGCGCATTCTAAGGGGCTAAAGGTAACTTTATTTTTGCTCGTCTGTCTTATCTGGCAAAATATATTGATATTTGATCAATATAGATTATCTCTATTCTGTTTGAAAGCATAAAATTGTGGAAGCAAGGAAAACATTAGCACAGTTTTGAAGATATATCTCTAATATTTTATAGTCTCTTTCTGTTTGAATTGAGTAAAAAACAACACAAAACAAAAACATTATGACCCTACCTTTATATTGCATTCTATCATCAGCATGAGTCAACTCCACTGAAACAGCGAAGATACTATACAAAAATAGAAGAATTAATTTCTTCATGACTTTCAATGATAATTCCCCCTTTTCTGCTCACAAGCCAGCCACTCTGTAGACTATTCGTAATGTAACTTTTTTTGGAATAGCTCCACGTTGCTGTGCTGTACTAATATACTCCAGTATTATTGCTTAGTCTGTTTATAAATTTGATATGTTATGGAGTGACTGTAGTCTCTTTATAAATGATCTGTGTTTATCAGGAATTTAGGAAATGGATAATTTGAGCTAATAGATGTATTTCCGCATTCCCAACCCACTATTTACCAACCAACATGCAAAAGAGATTAGATGATTGTTTGGAGTTATTAGAGGACTTCCTTTATTTTTTGTTTGTAATTTTTTTAACTATGATATGATGAGTAGTCCAAAAATGGTGACATATTGTTATGGTTTCCTTGTTTTTTGTGACGGGGTGGTGGTTGGCTGTCGGCGTCTGTAACAACTTTTTACAACTTCCAATATCTTAACAAATACTGTTTAGACTGCCTTCAAATTTTTTCAAAATCATCTACAAGTTCTCAGAAGTTCAAATCTGACTTGAGATTTAAGGTTTGACCTTCACTGACCTTCTCACAGCCTAACTGGATAGTTTACTATATAGAGAACATATATCTGGATCAAGAGGGCCTGGGTTCAATTTCGCGATCAGGTAAAATTTTGTTTTAACTTTTTGATGGGTTCTTCCAATATCATTATTAAAGAATGTAGCATGTACGATGTCTGCATATCATTGTACAGTACACAGAGAGAATATGTCTGTCAGTCTTGGCAAGTCTTCTAGGAATATTATAGGCATCATGCAAAGTACAAAATATACCAACATTCACCTCACCAAATATACTAGTAAACAAAGTTAAACAACCAAAAGTATAGATGGCATTCTCATGGATACCCAATTGAGTTCAAAAGACAAAAATGGATTCTAAAATTTTCTTGACAAATAAATATTTCAATATACATAGAGATGTATCAGTATAGTTCAATACAGTCAAGCTTGTCAATATTGATACCCAATGTTAAACACCTTTTTTAAAATGAACATTTTTCACAGTCCCAATGGCCCATTGATTTTATGTTCACCTATTTGAGGAACACTTTTTCATGGAATAAGGGGTGTTCAACTTCATAGGATTTACTGTATACTGTGTTTTTCATATCTAGATTATTCTGAACTAATGTAGAATAATGTATATATTTGTTGTATTTTTAGATATCGAGGCTACGATTGTCGCAACAACTTATTTTACACCCAAGATGGCCGTGTTGTTTACCATGTAGCAGCCGCAGGAATCGTGTACAAGAGGGAGACAAATAAACAACAGTTCTACCTGGGTCATTCTGACGATATATTATGTCTGTGTATTCATCCTATGAAAGATTATATAGCAACTGGACAGGTAGTTAAATACTATAAGTTATTGAATGATTTGAAGTGCAATACAGGATATATTCTGCTCGAAAAATTCTCAAATATATTACAAATAACAAAGATAAAATTGTCAAACTTAATCATCATTTTGATTGCTGGTGAAACAAAAATAAGATAATTTAAGGCTGAGAATCAGTTGTAACATCATCGAAAATCTGCAAACTACATACTTGGTTCTTACAATTATGTAGAAACTAATGGAGTTCATAATGATTATAAAAACTGACTATGATATCTCCATGGAATTTTAGTGCAGTATGGGTTGTGTTAAAATAACCTTTGAACATAATGTATTTTGGCAAATTATTCTACTTTCTAATTATTGTATTATATTACTTGCTGCAATTATAGCCTGTGAAGATAAATGCAGTCTGCAAAATATTGATCTTTGAAAATGTTGTATACGTCTGCTAAAAACTGATGCATTATGGGACATGTTGTAGATTGGAAGAGAGCCACCTATACATATTTGGGATGCAGAGACTTTGAAGACAATCTCAATTCTCAAGGGAGCACATCAGAGGGGTGTATGTGCTGTAGATTTCTCAGGTGAATACCATATTATTTATTAACACTTTATTTTTCATCAAAAGATAATAATAAATTACCTGGCATGTATACAAAGTCTCAATTATCGATACACCAAAAAAATCATTCATATTTTGCCGAAATTTCCAGAATATTTTAGAAATTATCTCCATATACGATAAGGACGTCTTTTGGCGAAATGCAAAATTTCGATTCACATCTCGACTTAAATTGTATAGCTATACACATAAAGACAAGTTTTACTTTCACTTATGACCGAAATCATTCTAATAATCCGACTGAAGAATAGTTTGAATTTTAGATGGGTGAACAGTTCCACATTTTATTTTACAGCGGATGGAAAGAGACTTGCATCAGTTGGTTTGGATGACAATCACACAATCGTGGTATGGGACTGGAAGAAAGGGGAGAAACTAGCCACAACAAGGTAATGGCTGCTATAGAATAATTTCATTTGTCAGTTACTAGGAAAACTTGAGTAAACAGTTTGAGCCATTTACCATTTTATTGTTACAATTTTTATTTTGTCAACCCTCACATAGCTACTAAATTGTAGCTAATAATGCTTTTGAGCCCAGTCTTAGTATTGTCATAACAATTAATAGATGAAGTCCCATTAATTTGAAACTATTTTACACCAAGATTCACTCAGAAGGTGAAATTATCGGATAATACGGTGTCATATGAGAAAATCTTTCTTGTACCTGTGTTGTACATCGTCCAATCTTGACTCGCTTTGTTAATGTTTCTTTATCTCGTCTGTGACTTGATAGTACTTAAGAAGGATTATCAAAGCTCATCAAGAATGGACGGTTTTGCACAGATACTCCTACAAGAATCTCTATATCTATGTTATGTAAATAAATATTTATATAAAAACAGAATCTGTCAAAAAATGTTTTTAAAAAGTATGCATTCGAATACAAAGAAAAGAATTACTCATACATCTACCATATGCATTACTTACGTAATATCATAAAACAATGAAAAATTATATCATTATAGCACATAATAAGGGATTTTAAGAAAGTGACACAGATTTCTGACTTCTTTAGCTTTGAAATGACCTAGATTGTTCTTGACTATTGGTCTTTTTTAATTTTGACTTTTGACTAGACTATTTTCTTTATTCCTTAGACCTATAAAAAGTTTGGTAATAAACAACAAAAACAGGTTTGCTTTTTGTGTGCATTCAGAAAAGAAAAAGGTTTATTTTATCAATATCCTATTTATAACATCATTTAAGTGGTTAAATTAAAGTAAACCGTAACTTATATTGGGTCCAGGAAACTTGGAAAAAGACATGGCTGCAGTGCTATGATGATTTGGAAAGTCAGTCGGCTCCATAGCTCATTGTGAGAGCACTTGTCCTGAAATCGAGGGGTTCATGAGTTTGATCCCCACTAGGGTGGACTGACTTTTTCACATCAGCCCTTCGGGAATAAATTCATTCTGTGTTTCGTCAAATAATAATCAGATCTAGAGACCCCTTCATTTTAAACTTATCAAAGTGATTCTCATTGAATTCACCAACATGACTGACATTTTCAAAACAATTAATCTACTTTTCACATTCATTAATTTTTTATCTTAAAAGTCAATTAATGGTCCAAAGAATCTATTTCCGTTATCACTATCATTGAACAAATAATCAGCGAAGGCCTCAACAAGCTCGTCCTCTGAGATTTTCCCATCACCGTTTGTATCAATATAATCGAACTGCATCCTTGCCAGAGTTGGGTCAAAGTTATAGGCTTTCCAGTAGATGATATACTCATTAAAGCTGATGTACCCATTCGAGTTGAAGTCGATAGCCTATAATGTTAATATGGTATATACAGTTTATAGATATTATTCTCAGAATAAAATGAGTGTAATGAATAAGCAATTCAAGTTAACCCATTAGTCAGTGACGTCACTCTTATACATTTTATGATTGTCATCAGATGCGAAAAACATTAAGTCAAAACGTCTGCCAAGAGCAAGAATTCACTGTTACTTTAGAGATCTATCCAAAGTATGGTTACATTATACTATTAATATTGCATCTCAAATTTTGTAATGTCTTTGTGATTTGTGCCTTTTAAACTCCTAAATGGTCACCGAAATGCTTAATTCGAAATTCAGATATATCTCTAATGTATGTCTTTTAATATCTGCCAATTTAATCAAGGGTAGGGTAGATGGTAAATATTACATTGTTATATATGAACATCTAAGTGTTCGTTTGGATTTGCTGCTTGTGGAGTTGCCGATTTCTAGTTTGAGTTATATGTCCTGATAATTTATGCCAAAAGTTAACAATACACTGTCTGGTTATTTCTATCATAAATGTGTAAAAAGTCATAAAATGTTTAAAATAAAACAAGTGATACAGCAATTAACTATGCATACCTGAAATAGGCATCTCCAAAAAACAGCCCAACATTTCATCACTTCAGGATTGTGAATGGCTGCCCAAAGACTCAGTATTGTGTCTACCAATGATTTTTCAGACCAAAAATTAGGGTATTGTTTTTTTGTTTCCACCACACACTCTTTACAAAATGCATAAACTTTGTCAGCATTTCTACCGTCCAAACCACCTGAAAGGTAATGTAATGTACAATTCTAATTATGAGTTTAAGTTAAAAGTAAAGAAAAAAATTGCTGATTTACTGATATACTATGAACAGTGGAGTGTATAGATCATTATTTGGGCACTGCTTTGCAAAATATTAGGAAAGGATATTCTGATTTCCATTTCAAAATCAGCAAAACAAATTAGCAAATGAAGTTTCTCCATATTAAACTTACCAATCTTTACAAGCCTGTCTCCATACTCCATGACATTGTCAGATCCAATATACCAATAGCCAACCTTGTTCAGATCAAAAGCAAAGATAATATTCACTGCCTTCCTAACCCACAATCTTGGGAGATCAGACAATTGCACCTGTTGTACCTATGGGAGCACGACAATGTACGTAAATATATATTAAATGCATTAATTCTAAATAGCCAACCAAAAAGTTAACCACTGCAATAGGCTATTTTTCCCTTAGCACCTACAGGAATCCTTTCAAATTTTTAAATGTTGTCTTTCCAAATGTTTTTTTTCAAGACCTTTACCAAGTAAATCTTCACACCAGTTATCTGGTAACTTTAGCAGGTAAAAACCCTCGGTTAATCGGTCAATGCTCAAAACTGTAAATTGACACCACTTCCAAACACCATCAACAAACTATAGCAATATGTCACTACTTCTGGCGGTGACATAAAATTCAATAGGAGTCTCGGATCCCCTCCTCCTGATGAGGCCATCTAATATCCAACAGTAATACACACTACTATACCTAACACCTAGAAATGCATAAGATACTTTGTTTGTCTAATTGAATTGTTTAATATATTTTTGAAAGTGCCTTACTAGCATCTAATTTTCAACCGATAAACCATTCATAAGGAACAGACAAATAAAAACAAATACATAATCTTTACTAATAAGCCAAATGGGTTGCTCATGAACACCAAATGCAAGGTATAGTAGTGTGAATATAGCAAGTCTCATTGTAGAGAGCATTTTACACCTAAGAGTCACTTAATATATGTAAAGCTAGGTTATCGGCTTAAGACATTTATAGTAGGGATACTAGGAAAAAGAACTTTATTGCCGCAAGTTAATGAAAAGTAGTCATCATGACATTTCTACTGTATTATAAAAATATGTGTCATTTAGCTTGTATTTGTGAGAACATTTTCAATATGCAGTGTTGTAATATTATTTAATGTTGATATTCTGAGTGACTTACCGCTCAAGTAAGCACAGTAAACAGATATTAAAGAGAGAATCAGATCTAGCGAGCAGGCTAAACAAAAAATTGTTTCAATTTTAGAATATTTTTGGCTCATGTCATTCCTTGTCATGTCTATTTTCTAAAACTCACAAAAGTGCATACTTTATTCCAGGAAAACTATAGATTTTTACAATAATGTATTATTTTTCTATAAGAATGGTAACCATTCTTATTATTTGGGAGAATTTAAACATTTTTCAATCATTTTTGCACCTTGAATCATTAATAACTTCACCAATTTATAACATATTGTGAATCTTTTCGGAGATATTGTATTTGGTATTGTAAGGATTAGATTGGTAGGTCAATTATACATTTTGCTTGTAATTTTGTCACCCCCTATAGATCAGATTCTTCCTTTAATGTCAAAACATAAATTGACTTTGTCAGTTTAAAACTCTCAGTGTAAACAGCACGAGGCAAAACCTTTTTCAATCAGACAACCATATAATCAACTGAGGAATCTTGTCAGTTTGATATGGTTAAATAATATGAAGATTGAAAATAAGAAAGTTCAGGTGATCAAAATAGTTCATAGCATCTGAGCTAAAAAGGAGCCAAAAAGAGGCAAGGAAAGTTGACTGAAATATACTTCATATGGTGATGTAAGATACAGGTCTTAATTTAGTGAGAACAGTTGTATCTAAACAAACTCAGACTAAGAATTTAACTTCATTTAGGCTGGTGTAGGCAGTTTCAATATGACTTTGCCAGGGAAATAAATACATTTTAATTGCACTTATTTTATTATCAATTTTAAGTTACATTTACATAGAAAAACTTAAGGAAATGGAACACATGCCTAAAATAATCAAAACAATGAAAAACATTAGTTTGGAACATATCAAAACTTCTCAAAAAATGCTCAAAACAAGAGAACATGGACGTACCGTAAGTCTAAACAAATCAGACAAACAAAACTTTGACTTCAATAACATTAATTGTTCGTACATTGGAGTTAACTATTTTGTTAGATCAAGACTAGGAAATATCATGTTTCAGTATGCTTCAACATTTGGCATTGCAAAGGAAAATAATCTATGTATATTGATGCCAAAATCGGTACCAAGGAAGACAATTGATTTTATGAGTTATTTCCACCTATCTGCTATTCCTACAAACACTGGCCTCCCAGTAGGGTCTCAAAGGGTAAGCCCAACGAAAAGTTGCTGTATATTTCAAAAAAGCTATATGCAGTTAAACAATACACAAAACTACACTCTATCAGGTGGTTTACAGAGTTACAAATACTTTGACAATGTGCAAAATGAAATCCGGAAAGAATTTCAATTCAGGAAAACAATCAATAAAGCAGCAAATAAATTCTTGAGAAATGCAAAACCAAACTTAAAAACCACATATGTAGGTATACATGTGAGGCGTGGGGATTTTCTTAAACTCGGACAACAGGGTTTTGTAGTACCTCCTGTGAGCTATTTCAACAATGCTATTAAATATGCCCAGGAGAAATTCACCAATGTCCACTTTATAGTCTGCTCCGATGATATCAAATGGTGTAAAGAGAATATCAAATCAACAAGTGTTTCTTTCTCCGAGAACAATGAAGCCATCACTGACATGGCAATCTTAA